AGGTTAGCGGAATAGTCGGCGACGACATTCGCTCCCTTGTACACGTGATTGATATGTATGAACGTGTCAATCTTGAGCAAGCCATCGACGTATCTCTGTACACCTGAATGATAACAAACTAAAACAGGGAACGACTAAACAATCCATAAACATACTACAAGTAACAAAATGAGCTTGGTATTAATTGTCAAATAATAAGGGAATGATTGAGGTGTAATTAAGTGAACATCTCACATCTTGGGCAGTTGAGGGTCAAGTAGTAGTAAATGAGGAGACTATAATTGGGAGGAATAAAATAACATTAACTTATATTTCGGTACATACCGATCTCAATCCCATAATTTCTAATACTAAATAACACTTGAAATTCCTAATACTAAATCCAGGGTTAAATAGTTGAAAAAAGGAGACCAGAATTCTGCCTACTTCCATACGGTCACCGGGGCGCGGAGGAAAAGGAACTTTGTTTCCGGGCTTCGCAATGAGGAGGGAGAATGGGTTACTGCTGAAACCGGGAAGGCTTCTATTGCCACCAATTTCTACCAGAACCTATTTGCATCGGAAACCCAATTCCCTAATATGACTGAGAGGGTGGAAAATCTGCCAATAGCCCATAGTGTAACCCCGCAAATGAATGCGCAATTGACGGCGGAGGTTTTGCCCAGTGAGGTTCGGAGTACGGTCTTCTCCATGGGATCGAAGCAGTCCCCGAGATCGGATGGTTTTACAGGGAAAATTTTTAAAGCTTTTTGGGATATTGTGGGCACTTTGGTGGTGGAAGCAGTGATCTCTTTCTTTACCTCGGGTCGGATGCTTCGGAGTTTTAATCATACTTGGCTCACTTTGATCCCTAAAGTTGACTCAGTGGAAACAATTCGACAATTACGTCCGATTAGCCTCTGCCAGTTTGTTTACAAGGTGATTACTAAAATTATGGCTGAAAAGCTCGCTAGCATGCTTCCTCGGATCGTTTCGGAAGGCCAAAATGGTTTTATCAGGGAGCGGCAGATTATTGATAACATCCTTATAGGACATGAACTAATGCATTATCTAAAAATCCAAATGCAAGGAAAGAAGGGATACATGGCTCTGAAGGTTGACATGGAAAAGGCCTATGATAGAGTCGAATGGCCATTTCTTCTTGCAGTTTTGAATAAGATGTGTTGTAGTTCAGTCTGGCAAGGGTGGATACATGAGTGTCTTCGCTCCTCCTCTTTCTCGATTCTTATGAATGGTACACCCTAGGGTTATTTCACTGCCTCTAGGGGCCTTCGCCAGGGGGATCCGCTCTCTCCGCTCTTGTTTGTGCTCTGCACGGAGGGGTTTGCGGCCCTCCTCCGTAAGGCGATTACGGAGAAAAAATTAGAAGGGGTGAAAGTAGCTCCTCGTGCTCCAAGGGTTTCGCACCTGTTCTTCGCGGATGATTCTTACTTGTTCTTGCGAGGTTCTCTCCAGGAGTGCGAGAATTTAATTGAGGTACTTAATGAATATGAGGAGCTGAGTGGTCAACGCGTTAATTTGGAGAAATCGGCCGTGTGCTTTAGTAAGAATATCTCCACGGCTGATCAGGAGTTCTTGGCCACGATTCTAGGGGTTCGTGCTGTGGGTGTCCACGATAAATATTTGGGACTTCCCACGCTAATTGCGCGTTCAAAGATGGCGACATTCAAATATTTGGAGGAAAAACTCCTAGGCGTCTTCGGGGTGGTAGCAAAGGACATTGTCATGGGCTGCAAAGGAAACTTTGATTAAATCCATAGCATTGGCTCTTCCTCTTCATGTTATGTCCTGTTTCCGTCTCCCCCTAGCTCTGTGTCGTCTTTTGGATAGACATGTGGCCCGTTTTTTGTGGGGTGTTGAGGAGGGTCATCCTAAGATTAGATGGGTGTCCTGGCAAAACATGTGCAGGAGTAAGCATGAGGGGGGATGAGATTTCGCCAGTTTGAACATTTCAACCAAGCTCTTTTGGCTAAAATAGGCTGGCGTATTCTTAATGAACCTCAATCACTTATTGCCCAGGTTTATAAAGGCAAGTATTTCCCTCAAGGATCTTTCTTGACTGCCACGGCTAGGTCTCGTCCCTCTTGGGGGTGGCAGAGTATCCTGTATGGGCGTCATTTATTGGAGATGGGTTTACGATGGCAGGTTGGGAATGGTCAATCGGTCTCACTCCTTCATTCTAACTGGATTCCTAGGTACCAATTAGATCCCTCATCCTATAATCCGCGGATCTTGCCTGAGGGGGGTGATCCTTTGGTGACGGAGGTTATTTGTGAAGGGGGAGGGAGTAGGGATGGCAATGGGTCGGGTTGGGTCGGGTTTTGCCAAACCCAAACCCAAACCCATGGGTTTATCTTTGAAAAAAACCCGGGGTAAAACCCACTGGGTTTGAAAAACTCAAACCCAACCCAACCCGTTGGGTATCCGCGGGTTCATGGGTACCCACGGGTTTTGTCGTAAAAAATTTACAATTACAAGTTCTTATCAAAATTAAAGTCAAATATCAATCTCTCAATACAAATTATTCATATATAAAACACCATTCTAGAAAATTCAAGCAAATCACAAATTAACTATACAAATTGTTCAACACCAATCTAGAAAACTCAAAAAAATTGAAGCAAATCACAAATTTTCCATAAATAACATGTTTAATTGAAAGCTTCTTCCTTTCAATTAAGTTTCTTTACTCTCCACTCCATAACATCAACTTGATTCTACACAATTAAAAAGAAAAAATTAGACATGTCTCCACAAACATAAATAAGATTAATTGTTTAGAATATTAAATATACCGAAAAAATTAATTATATGGGTGGGCGGGTACCCACGGGCCGGGTTTACCTAAACCCAACCCGTTGAATAGTAAACGGGTTTAAACCCAAACACGGATTTTACCCGCGTTGACCGGGTTGGGTCGGATGGGTACCCGTGGGTTCGGGTTTTGTTGCCATCCCTAGGAGGGAGTTGGTCTGATGAGAAGCTCAGTCAATGGTTTGACCCGCCCACCTGTAGGGCTATTAAAGCGATTCCTCTCCCGCGATGGGATGTGCCTGATAAGCTTATCTGACATTTTGCGGCTGATGGGGTGTTCTCGGTGAAGTCGGCCTATCATTTGGCTGTAGACTTGGACAGGAGGAGGGGTGGGTGGCGGTCCTCGGTTAGCTGGATGGATAAGTCGAGTTGGATTAGAGTTTGGGAGGCGAAGATCCCTCCGAAGTTAAAAGTTTTTGTTTGGCAAATTCTTAATCGGGCTCTTCCGACGACAGAGGCGCTTATTGAGAAAAAGGTCCAGGTGCTACCTCAGTGTCCAGTTTGTTGGGATGGCCCAGAGACGATGGAACACTTGTTTCTTTATTGTCCGGTGGCACGGGCTCTCTGGGACTATTCAGGGCTGGATTACTTGGGGGAGGGTTTGCCTCGGCACACTTTTCCTTTGTTTCTCAAACGCCTGTTGGCGCTGATTCATCAACCGTCAATGGTTATGGCTGTCGTTGCCATCCTTTGGAGGATCTGGCGGTCTCGAAATTGGGTAGTCTTTGAAGGCAAACAATTTGGGATACCAGTCCTCATGCGCCAGTTTAACCAACAGTATGAGGAATGCGTCGGTCTTTCTGCGGACCAAGCTCCTAGGGTGCTGAACCTGGCTTTGCAATCTCCTGCGCTAATGGGTGAATCCCATATAGTGTGCATGTGGGACGGAGCTACGAAGGGTGGGTCACATTCGGCTGGTGGGATGGTTCTTTTTGACCCAGTCAGGACACTCCTTCTGGCTAGAGGGGTTCAGTTTTCTCAAATGGATGATCCTATGGTGGTGGAATTGCTTGTGCTTAGGGATGCCTTGATTTGGTGTAGGGAGTTGGGCTTGTCGGAGGTCCGTTTTGAGGGCGATGCGAAGGTGATTATTGACAAGATTAATCAAGCCGACATAAGAAATAGCCGGCTGGGTGCTGTTCTAGAAGAGATTGGCCATCATTTACGTGCTCAGCCTGGTTTTAGTGTGCGTTTTATAGGTCGAGAAAACAATAGGGTAGCTCATTTGGTAGCTAGGAAAGCCCGTTCTTTGTACCCGACTATAAGTCATTTTTTTTATTTCCAGGCCTGGCTGGTTTCCAGGGTGTAACTGCCTATTTTTTGATCAATATATGATATTTTTTGACAAAAAATAAATCACAATCTCATAAAATAATACTTATATTCTATAATATCAAATATCAACAAATTAACTATTATATTCAATATATTCCTAATGCCGACGTTTAATAAAACCACATTAAAGAAAAACAAATTTCCCATCCTATTAAGTCCAGTGCTCCAACAAACCAAGTACAATAAAACAATCCCTTTCTGGGCATCCAACAACTGAAATGACTGGATAGATATATACATGTTTAAAGGGTTAATTGCAAGGATGGTCACTGAGTTTACTAAAACCGTTCATGTTTGGTCACTGCAAATATTTAATTCCATTTATGGTCACTAAAATTAGTTCAATAGTTCAAATTTGGTCACTCTCTGTTAGTCTCCGTTAGTTTTTGCTGATGTGGCAGTCAACTATTATAGTTGACCGTTAAATGAGTGATGTGGCCAATAAAAAATAATAAAATAATAAAATTTAAATATTTACAATTTCCACCTCATTTTACAACTATTAAAAAATAAAAATAAAAATTACCTCCTCGCCGGGAGCTGCGCCGCGATGATGGACCACCTGCTGCCGATGGTGACGTAGAGGCTGCAGATGACGTTGTCCTCCTCTTCCGAGAACCCGCCGTGCTTGATGTTGGGCCGGAGGTAGTTCAGCCACCGCAGCCTGCAGCTCTTCGTCGCCATAATCATAACCTTCCCCGTCATCAAGCTCCTCGAAATTCAGGTCATCTTCGTCCGATTCGCCGAGAATCCCGGCAAGTCCGTGCGCGGCGACGGTCGACCCGATGTAAAGATCCGGATCCGAGACGCGGACGCCATCCACGGACAACACCGACTGGTGCACGACTGGTCCTACTACCTCTAGTAAACAAGCATTTTTCAATTCAATTCTTATAAGCAGAATCCAGCAATGCAAAAGCAATGGTTATAGACTTTGTGCCCACTAACCGTTTGTACTCGGGGGATTGCTTATATTTCTCGAACTCTTTAGACTATTCTTCGTCGGAAAGAGGAGGGAGCTGACCGGTGAACTTCCAATTAGTCATGGAAAGACCAGAACGGGTAAGTCGAGTGACACCGCCAAGTATATTCACCATGCTGAAAACCCAGGCAGCAGAGCCAAAGAGCCAAATCCCCACCATCTTCTGAGCGCGAGGCCCTGCTGTGACCAGCAGCTTCACTCCCTCCTTACTCTCCAAACTAACTGATGCCACAGTCGAAGAATTTCTAATGGAACCCGCATTATGACCACCCTATTGCCCATCAAATTAAAGAATTGAAATTGAAGTTTGGAGTCACAGTAACACAAACAAAATTGAAAAAAGAAGACCCATTTGGCAGACACTTACTTACCTTCGGAAGAGATCGAAATGCGTGGAAGAAGGGCCTCGACGGAGAGGTCGAAAGTTCTTTGAAATGCTGCCGGCTGAATTGCGGCGACGTCCGTCCGATACTGGAGATTGTGTTGCCGATCGTCTGTTTGTTCCTCTTCAGAACAGAGGATAATACGCGGCTGCCTAACATAGCGTAAGGAAGATGCTCTCTCTGCCTCGGGCGAAAGGTTTTAGAGAGGTATTGGGGGAGAGGGAAGTTGAATCACAGCTCCGGAGCTCAAATCAGCCAACAATGGCGGAAGAGTGGGGGAGATGGACGGCGAATGGGGAGCGGAGATCGGAAGCTCATAGCTGAGCGAATCATACGATGTCGTCTTCGTCGATGGGTTTGTTGTTGGTGATAAGGAACAACCTTCCTATTCTACTGCAACCCACTTTCCTCACGTTCCTCATTCTGTTACAACAGCTAGTTGGTGCCCTTGTAAATCTCTTTTCAGTTCTTTACCTCACGTGTACATGTACTATATATATTGTTGAGATACTGAATAATAACCTCAAGCCTTAGAGCATCTTTATGGTATCAGAGCCCTTTACTCTAACGAGATTTTTCTTCTCTCTTCGATCCTTTCTATTCCCTCTACAATGACTTCTGAAACTTCCCCCCAATCCTCCACCTCTGTTTCTCCTGGATCTGCTCTCAATCCTCCCCTCACTATTGCTCTTCCTTCCAATCCCCAGCTCTCGATTAAGCTTACCCCCACAAATTACCTCCTTTGGCATGCCCAAATCACACCTCTTCTGCGTTGTCATCGCCTGATGGGGCATGTCGACGGCACACTTCCCGCCCCGCCGCCGATTGTCAACGATCAACCCAATCCGGCATACTTACAGTGGTATGATCGTGATCAACATGTGCTTCTCTGGATCACTTGCTCTCTCTCTGAGGCTGTCATGTCCAACATCATCAACAAAACCACTGCCTTTGATGCGTGGTCGGCCTTAGCCCGGATCTATGCTTCCGGATCCAAAATTCAGATCCGCCATCTCACCAAGGAGCTGCAACATTTGCGTCGAGGGCGAAGTATTCATGAATACCTTCAAACGGCGAAATCGAAGGCTGATCAATTGGCTGCTCTTGGGGCACCCGTTCGTCCTGACGATTTTATCGGTTGGATTACGGATGGACTTGGTGAAGACTATCGGCCCTTTGTTCGTCATTTGGAGTCCAGGATGGAGCCGATCTCCTTTGAAGATCTTCACTCCCTTCTCCTCAGTGAAGAATCTCAGCTAAAGCGCTACAACGCCGTCTCTTTCCCTTCCACGCCGGCTGCCTTCTTCTCTTACCCTGGTGGTTTTGGTGGCTCGCGTGGCCGTGGCGGCAGAGGTCGCGGACGTAGCGGCGGCAGGGGCCGTGGCTCTTTTTCCACCAATCCCTCTTCTTCTGTTGTTTTGTTTGACAGGCCAGCGACGGGCTTGCTTGGGGCCAGGCCCAATGTCTCTCATCAGCATTTGGTGTGTCATAACTGTGGTGGTAAAGGGCATATCCGCCCTCATTGTCCGAGCCCAATAACCACTTCTGGCCCATCTCAGCATTCTGTGTCCCCAGCCCAATCCGCCCCTGTATCACAGCCTGGGCCCTCTCATTTTTCTCCTGGCCCACATGCCTATTTAGCATCCAGCCCGGCTCAACCATTTAATCCTCAGCAGTGGCTTGTTGACTCCGGTACAAGCCATCACTTGACTTCCGATTTGGATAACTTAGCCCACCATTCTGAATATAATGGTACTGATCAGGTCCTGTTTGGCAACGGTAACTCCCTCCCTATCTCTCACTCTGGTTCTTCTCGTGCTGCATTATCCAATGCTTCTCTCTCTTGATAATATCCTCCATGTCAAAAATGCTCCATACAACTTATTGTCCATTAGTTCACTCACTCGTTCTAACCCGGTCTCAATTGAATTTTTCGACTCTTCTTTTGTTATCAAGGACCGTCACACGAACGCTGAGTTATACCGCGGCTTTGCAGTGGATGGCCTTTATTCGCTGCCCCTCCACGTGTCTCGCTGTCTCTCTCCTCAAGCCTGTCTCGCCTCCCTCCACACTTGGCACCAGCGTCTTGGTCATGCTAATTTGCCGGCTGTCAAAAGTGCTCTCCGCCATCATCAAATAAATTTTGTCTCTAGTCCTTCTTCGCTATGTCATGGTTGTGCGGTTAGCAAAATTCACAAACTCCCATTTCCTGTTTCCACGTTCCAAGCAAACGCTCCTTTAGAATTGGTTTGTAGTGATGTTTGGGGCCCTGCTCCTACTCTCTCTTATGATGATCAATCTTACTACATTTTATTTTATGACCACTACAGCAAATTTTCTTGGATCTACTTTGTGCGTTACAAATCGCAATTGCTTAGTGTGTTCATTCAATTTCGCCAAATGGTTGAAAAATTCTTCTCCTTACCTATCAAGGTTTTCCAATCCGATTGGGGTGGCGAATATCAGGCTTTGTCATCCTATCTTCTTCAACATGGCATTTCTCACCGTTCGTCTTGTCCCTATACTCCCGAACATAATGGTTGTGCCGAGCACAAACATCGCCATATTGTGAATAATGGTCTTGCTCTTTTGCATCATGCTCAAGTTCCTCAAAAATATTGGACGCTTGCCTTTGATACTGCTTGCTACCTCATCAATCGTACACCTACTCCTCTCCTCAACAATAATTCACCATTTTTTACATTATTTAACCGCTCGCCGGATCTTTCCAACTTACGAGTTTTTGGCTGTCTTTGCTACCCTTGGCTTCGTCCGATCACTTCTTCAAAACTCGACCCTCGTTCTGTTCCTTGTGTATTTCTTGGATACAGCAAACTACATAAAGGTTACCGTTGCCTCCATCCACCCACTTGCCTCCATCCACCCACTGGTCGTATTTATGTCAGTCGTCACGTATTATTTGATGTAACCAAATTTCCCTTCCATGAGACCCACACTACCTCTCCCTGCCCGACCTCTCCTCCTAGCCCAGGCCCCATTCTTTTACCCTCTCCTCCTTCTTTTTCTTCTCCGACCCATCCCAATACCTCTTCGGCCCATTCCTCCATTAACGGCCCACCACCCTCCCCACCACCCAACCCAAATGGCTCTGCCCCCAGCCCACAATCCTCTTCCACTCCTGATCCACCTGACACTACTCCCAGCCTTCACCCAACCACTCTCCCCACATCACCCGATTTCATTAATCCTTCCCCTCTGCCTAAACCTTTGTCCGCCACACAACCCTTGACCTCGTCCGTCTCTGCTTCTACCCCTCGATCCCCTACTCCCCTTCCTCCTCGCAAACCCCTTCCTCCCCGCCCTCGCTTCAACACATCTCCTCAACCTTACCTGATCACCAATCCCACTGCCTCCAATCATCCCATGGTCACCCGAATAAAAACAGGCCATCTTAAGCCAAAAACCTTCCTTGCTCATCCGCCTCCATTGAATGACACACCAACCTCGGCTGCTCAGGCCCTCAAGCTTCCTCGCTGGCGTGCCGCCATGACCGACGAATTCACTGCTTTGATTCGGAATCATACTTGGGACTTAGTTCCCCCACCGGCGGATTGCAATCTCCTCACCAACAAATGGGTCTTTCGCACCAAATTCCACGCCAATGGCAGCATTGAACGCGACAAAGCCCGATTGGTAGCTCGCGGATTTCAGCAAATTCCGGGTGTTGATTTCCACGAGACCTACAGTCCAGTTCTTCGCCCAGCGACGCTTCGCCTTGTTCTTGGGCTTGCTGTCACTCACAGCTGGCCATTGCATCAACTTGATATTGCTAACGCTTTTCTTCATGGTGAGTTACAGGAGACAGTTTATATGCGCCAACCGGTGGGTTTTGTCGATCCCGACAAACCGGATCATGTTTGTCGTCTTCGGAAGAGTATTTACGGCCTTCGCCAGGCTCCACGCACTTGGTTTGGTTGTTTGGCCGCAGCCTTGGTTCAGTTTGGGTTTTCTGTTTCTCGAACTGATCCATCCCTCTTCATCTATAAATCTGGTTCTGTCCGCCTCTACATGCTCGTCTACGTCGATGATATTGTGCTCACCGGCAATTCCTCCTCCCTACTACAGCAATTGATGACCTATCTCAACGACAAATTTGCAGTTCGGGATCTTGGCTCCCTCTCTTATTTCCTTGGCATAGAAGTTCTTCGCTCCGCTTCTGGTATACTCCTCAGTCAACGTAAGTTTATCAACGAACTACTTGATCGCGCGAAGATGACAGCTGCGAATTCAATCTCCACGCCTTCCACCATCGACATCATTCAGCACAGTGCTATAGATGCATCACCGCCATTTGCCGATCCTGCGCTTTATCGGAGCCTTGTTGGTGGTCTTCAGTACTTGAGTTTTACTCGCCCTGATATCTCCTTCGCAGTGAACCATGTGTCCCAGTACCAGTACTCTCCCTCGGAAGTTCATTGGGGTGCTGTCAAGCGCATCCTACGCTACCTTCGTGGCACCGTTGATCGAGGTCTGCACATAACTCGCTCTTCCTCTCTGCATATCCATGGTTATTCCGATGCTTCTTGGGCATCTTGTCCGAAAGATCGTAAGTCCATTACTGGCTTCGCTGTCTACTGCGGCTCCAACCTCATTTCCTGGTCCACACGCAAACAAAAATCAGTGGCACGGTCATCTACTGAATGTGAATACAGGGCCCTTGCCACTGTTGCTGCGGAGGTTCTTTGGCTTCAGTCTCTTATGGCTGAATTGGGTCAATCTGTCCCCTCTTCACCGGTGTTATGGTGTGACAATCTCGGGGCTACATATCTGGCTCACAACCCCGTTTTTCACAATCGTTCCAAGCATATGGAGATTGAATTCCACTTTGTTCGTGATCAAGTTAGTAAGGGGATGCTTCGTGTCCATTACCTGCCTGCTCAAGATCAGCTTGCAGATGTTTTAACTAAGCCTCTCACACGGCTTTCTTTTGCTAAATTTTGCTCCAAGTTACGCCTCGGTGAGGCTTCACTTGCGGGGGGCTGATAAGGAACAACCTTCCTATTCTACTGCAACCCACTTTCCTCACGTTCCTCATTCTGTTACAACAGCTAGTTGGTGCCCTTGTAAATCTCTTTTCGGTTCTTTACCTCACGTGTACATGTACTATATATATTGTTGAGATACTGAATAATAACCTCAAGCCTTAGAGCATCTTTAGTTGGGCCGTAGTTCTGGGTAGAGGGCGCGAAGAGCGTGAACGCGGGGAGGAGTTGAAGGAGAGGCTGAATCGGAGATCCGTGGTGGCGACCGCGTTGGGGAGGAGGTAAGTTTTATTTTTATTTTTTAATAGTTGTAAAATGAGGTGGAAATTGTAAATATTTAATTTTTTTTTATTGGCCACGTCACTCATTTAACGGTCAACTATAATAGTTGACTGCCACATCAGCAAAAACTAACGGAGACTAACGGAGAGTGACCAAACTTGAACTATTGAACTAATCTTAGTGACCATAAATGGAATTAAATATTGGCAGTGACCAAACATGAACGGTTTTAGTAAACCCAGTGACCATCCTTGCAATTAACCCATGTTTTGTTTAAACTAAAGAAAGAAGACGCAGAGAGTCCCATAGGCATCTGAATCTCCACCACCGAGAACAACTTTATTGGGTACTAGATTGTACCCCGGCCTGTTGGCCGGTTGCAATATAATAATGATAATAGATAACAAAGGTTCCAAGTTTAAATCATAGTGATCTTCTCTTATTTTATATTCCTGTCATGATTATATGTGAATGTCAGTTGAATTAACGAATAATTGTATGAGAAAATTGAAAATGAACACCCATCATATAGATTATTACATTGTAATGAATGCCTTCTGTGTAGCTCATGCAAGGGAATATCACCTCATAATAAACTTAATGACTCAGTATTATAGGTATTCCAAGATTACTGATATTATTTCTTTACCATAAAAAAATCTTCTTGATCAACTCCACTATCTTCATCATCAATAGGCAATTCTTTTTTACTATTTTATGCGAAGCAAATTTAAAGACTAAACATAATCATATATGAATGATGTAATATATTTGAAATATGACGTTATTGAACAAAAATGCTAACATGATGTATATTCATGTTAACAATCACAATTATCAAACATTAAACATTTAAAAAAATCAATAATTCGGAGAGTTAAAAGATTTGAATGATATATAATCAAAATATTTCAACTTTGGTTCTCCAAACGAACCCTAAGTTAAGATAAATATACTCTTCACTCTTTATTTAGACAACACATGACAAATGTTAGTGGATAACAATTTTAACATGTTCTGTTCTATATGATTTGTTTACGACAGCGGTCCGGTTCATTGTTTGAACGGTTATTGGTAGACAAAATGATTTTTCACGCTTCAATATAAAAGCAAATAAACCACCACGGTTTAACTGGTCTACTAGTTCAATATTTTAACCAAAAATTGTTTATAAAAAATACTTAACGTAAACTAAGACCATAATATCATAGTTATTAAGCTTATTTTTGCTTCCTATTATCATTTGACAAAAATATTGTGAGACTGTCTGAATGATTTATTAGATATTTTGGTGATGATATGAATTTGAAATTGTTTATGGTCAATGATAAGTTGATTTTTAAATTAGTGTAATATACAATTCTTGTATGTTATATCATTAATGGTTCTATCAACAATTAACCAAAGGTTTTGTAGTGGTTAACCACTGAACTTTAAACCACTAACTTTTCCGGTTCAGCGTCCAATCCGGTTCTGAAAATAGAGGTTTAACCTATTCCTGAAGCGGGTATTATCAGCCCTATAGGTGGGATGTAGCTGGAATGAATACTCCCCTCAAACTAACCCGCACTAACCCACCTCCCTCTCGATCAATTTTTCTAAATTGTATGTAGTTTTACTCAAATTATTTGGAATTTTATTTTTAATACATCATATTTTAGTTATAATAAAGGTGTAATATGTGAGAAACTCAACTATTGAATAATTTAACTGCATTTATCATGTTATAGTTGATTTTTCTCGACTCATTAATGAAAAATCAATATTTCAAGTGTTTTTTTTATTATATATTCATATGGGTCAACCTGACCCGACTCTCACCATAAGACAAATACTCGACTTGTCATGCGACTATGAAAATGGAGATATAATCGCCCTGACCTACCATTGATGACATTCTTAATTGATTTTCTTAGAGCGTCATTTATGATAAGATTTTTCAAATTTTTATCATACAATCCTCACAGCTTAAATACAAATACATACACATATCGACATTCTTTACTAAGAAATCAATTATCTCTTTACATTAGAATATAGCACAGACACATCTATGACAAAAATGAAAGAGCATGCAATTAAGGAGGCTATCAAAAGGAAAACGTATTGTAATAGAAAAAGAAAAGAAACGAAAATAATGCGGCAAAAACATATCCAATAAAAACCAGAATAAATTTCCGTCACACTGGCCAGAAATATACCCAAATACGAAAGCAAAATCGTTTTAGTGTAAAAGTTGAAAAGTCCAAATCGCCCTTCCTTGGTTTGCGCAGGAGCCAGGAAAAAATAGATTACATGAATGCTAGAGAAGAACCTCTATATAGATGTGGTTAGATTTACAAAGATAGCAGGAAACACCCATGTATGAAATGACGCAAACCCCAAACCAGAATCATTCAGCAGCTACTACAACACCAGGACTCCAGGAGACCAGGAATTTACAAGAAAGGGAGTAAAATGGTGTGAACTCAATCATATACGGCCTATCACAACCGAAGAAGCCTGCATTGTTCCGACTTCAAAGTCTTCGTGTTTATTGTCCATTCGTTTTCACGAGATCGCTTTTCGTTTGAGATTAAAAGAAAAGAGAGCCCTGAAGATGATCATGGCAAGAAATCTAAGGACACGGCATACCTCTGCTCAAGATCTGCACGATGGTAAAGTGATGCCTCCACAAAAAGCAGCAATTAGGAAGTACAGTAACACGACTATCAAGACCGTCAACAGCGCCCTGCAAAGCCAAAAGTTAGCAAGTTGCACAATGATCTTTCAGGATTACCAAAGAAAAGGAAATTTGCCGAGACGTACAAAAGTTTGGCATTCTTCATCCAAAGAGCTCTGCGAAGGCGTTTAGACTGTTTCCTGAAGTGGAACGATCCATCTTGCATGGTTGCGGTTTTATCGACAAGAAGCTCGATCCGGTCACCTCTCTCCAGTATTTTCTCAATGTTATCGACCATAACTGTTCGGAGCTGCGGAAAGTGACTCCAAATCAATGCATGGACAGAACAGGAAAAAGTACAGCATTATGCAAAATCTGACTAGCTCTGTCCAGGCCACTAATGCACATCTGCTATGTACTAACTGTATGCTTTTGATAATGATATGCACAAAAGAACAAAGGCCCCGTTTGGATAAGGGTTTCCTATGAGGGATTTTAAAACAATCTCTCACAATTAGAAATTTTAATAAAATCACTTGTTTGGCAAAAACATAAACAATGAGAGATTTTAATAATTAGAGATTTGAGAAACCCTTAAACGTGGGTTTTTGAAATAGCTGATGGCCACCAGCTATTTCGAAATCTCTCATTTTTATATTTTATATTCCAACTGTTACCCTTTCTTTCTTCTATCTACAGTTCGTCGTCGACCCATTCAACACCAACACTACCCAATGTCGTCCGTTGCCCAAAAGTTGCGGTACTGGTCCTCACCCAATTCTTCCCATCACGTCGAGATATTCTTCCCACCCAAACCTGGTCCCCGTCGGCGATTCCTTCCCACCGCCGCCTGAAAATTTGAGCGCCGCCCAAACTGGTCTCTCGTCTTCGATTCCTTCCCACCATCACATGGAATTTGAACATCGACGCCAAACCTGGTCACTCGTCGTCAATTTCTTCCCACCGCCGCCTGGGATTTGAACGTTGCCCCAATAACAGCGGCGTTCTTCAATTTCTTCCCACTGTCTCCTGGTTAAGCTCGGCGATCCTCCCTGTAACAGCGGCAGCGAAGAAGAAGAACCATGAAACCCCGAGACGGTGGCAGGTTTAGAGGAGGACGAGGCGGTGGTCGAGCAGGCGGTGGCCGAGGTTTGCGTTGCGGGCGTGGCAGCGGTGGATGATGATCTAGGAGCGGCTGCGATTATGCTTGGTGTAGGGTTGCTAATTGATGTTTCTGAAGGGGAGGGATAGTTGGTGGGGACAAAAACAAAAATGGAAGGGAAGCAGTGGTCTTGCAGGGACAAAAAATCAAGCTACTGCGAAGGTATATGTGCTTCCTAAGAAATCACTGGTGTAGGGTTTTTGGGTTTCACATTGTTGTTCTTGCCGATAACGAAGATCACCATAAACAAATTGGGTAAAACTGTCTTTTTCCTTTCTAGCATGAAAACCCTCATTAGCTTCCAAACGAGTTAATTTGGACAATTCCTGCCAATAAAATTCCTGGTATTTCAAACGAGTGATTTGAAGTTAAATCTCTCACAAATATCTCATATTAAAAACCCTCATCCAAACGACCCCAAAAGAGATTCAAGCTGAAACAACTGACAGTGAAATGATGATAATCAAAGAATATTTTTAGGCTGACTCAACCTTTGAAGTGGTAGTCAAAACAGTAATTGATACTTAAATAGGTTGACTCTCAAACTTGCAAGTGCTAAGTTAGCAGAAATAGGAGAGTAAGGCAGGTTAGGTCAAACAAGATTACCACTGCAGAGACAGAGTAATGCAGTGTAAGGCAGATGCTTTTAAGGAAAATGTAACAAACCGGATATAATTACCTCACTCACTTCACCTCTGACACGACTCAGAGTATCAGCACTTGGATTACTAGAGAAAAATTCCATTTGCTGATGCAACACCCTTGAGAACTCATCATTCATTGCATAGGCAGGTGCGTACGGGGATACTCTGCCGTAGTTCTTCATGAACCTCATGTGAATGTCTTCCAAGTATGAAAATGGGATCCTCCCTGGTCAAGCAGAAACCATATGATCTAATTAAATTGAGTGGTAATTTATCATTGAAACTTCCAGAGGAATGTGGTATTCACTATTCAGTCTGACTGCCTAAGTAACAAAACCTTCTTATTAGATAATCCACTCAGCAACTATACCCACTTTTAAAGGAAAGGGGTCTAAGAGGACACAGTATTTTAGAGGCATAGTTATTGGAAATCAGGAGCCAATATGCAGTCAAAACAGAAGACATGAGTGCTCCTTTCAAGGCTCATTATCACATGTATGAAAAAAGTCCCAGTTACGTGCAAGTACTTAAGTAAATGATAGGTTCCTCCAAATACGAGGGAAGGAGTGCTCAGCATCTCCACATATATCAGAATAACTATGGAGTAATACACATTTGGTTTAACGTCAGTGCCCAGGTGTATAACATGGCTTCACAACATTGCCACATGTACTCCGTCCCAATGCGTAGGACTGCAGAATCAAGTTACCTTCCCGAATAAGTTGCTAGAGGCTGTCTAAAACTACAAATCACATACCGAAACAACAGATTTCCTATGTGCTAAACAGTTCAATCTTTTAGAATATTGAAAAACCTGGAACCTAAAGATAATGGAAGTCCGAAACAGTTCTAAGGTAAGTGAATTTGGATAGAGGACTATTCTAAACAGTTCAACCTACATAACCAACTAAAACACAAGATAGAGGACTATTCTAAATCCTTCTTCGAGTAAGAGGTTTTATATGGGTTCTTACTGACAAACAATGAATTGTCATGAACCTTTTGTTCCCCACGTGAAATTTCAAGACTACTCTACTACAGCAGAAATTAAGAACAAACCCAAAAGCATAGCTTGAGGAACAACATATGAGGATACCACCATATATCACTGGACCCTTACATGGGCACAAATGATATTCAACAACTGATGGAAGCGTTATCTAGACTCAACCATGGCAGAGCTCTAATATTCCTTACTCCCCTTGTGAAACAAGCCAGCAAACTTACACAAAAAAACATCATCTTTCTTTTCATCTTTACAAACCGAAATGATGGACACAGTAGACCATTTCACCAAGGAAATCCCCAGGTTCTCGGGCTTCAGAGCCATCACAAGAATTGTTCCCTAACACTACAGCTTCTAGAGTCCAACTAAGTAATCAACCTCAGTTTTGTTTACCCAGAAGTACATAAAGTTATCAACTTCAGCTTCGATGAACTGCTATGAAGACATCACTGAATCAGTAGCAGGCACAAGCTCACCAGGGAGTCCAATTTCCCATCCTCCTAGTAATCGATCCAGCAGAAAGCCCCCAAAATAGAAAGCTAAATTCGAAGCAAGGAACCAGTTTTATCCCTTCACCAAGTGCAGTTCACGGCCATAGGAACAATTCAATTCAAAGAAACGAAACGAAACGAAACAATTGAGATCAGCAGCAGAAAAGAAAGGGAATCGAGCGTCAGTATATACGTACTGCCAAAGGCGTCGTTGGCCATACAGAGGAAGCTGAGGCCGTCGGATCTGAGTATGTGGAATATGAAACGGTCCTGCGAGAAGCACATCCTGGTGTCGCCGTCGGCTGGCAGCTTCTCCAGGATTCGCCGCGCCACCGCGCCCGTGTTCCCCGTGACGGCGCTGAACTCCGCCAGCACCACCGTCCCTCGAGCAACCACCGCGTAGAGAATCGCCATCCAACTCTCAACCCGCCCTATCCTCTGTAGAAACAAATTACTCTTTCCTTCGTGCTTCTGCGCGTTGAATTGGTGAACTGGAGTTGTTAGTTTTCTTTGATTGGATTGGGATTAGGAATTTAGGCTAACGAATAATGGAGTCGCGGCAGGCCAACAAAAGCTTACGGCCAACGAGAAAGGGTTAAGGGGAACAGAGCAGAGCAGGCCAGCGAAGCGATGTCACCGGCTTAGTCCAGCTTCTGCTATGTTCTTATGAGTTATACCATTTTTTGTAGGGGTAAAGTGTCTTTTTATTTGGTGCTCAAACGAATTTAACGAAATGATGACCATCATTGATCTTTATGGAGAAAGGATCGCAACATAATCACCATAGTAATTTGCTATGGTGTTCACAATTATTAATTATATGTGAAATGGACTTTGTAGAGGTAGAGGAAGAATTACGTATTGGATTCTTCATGTCTGTTGGATGGACGCAATGACAATTTTGTACGAAATGTTTGAACTCATTGTACTAGTTCCGTTGTCTTCCTACTAATAATTCAATTTTGTAATCCAAAACGTTGTTATACAACTCCACAATAAAATAACCTCATAATTTCCTGTCTGCTTTATTAATTCGGATCAACACAGCCTTCTTCGTCTTTGCTTCAACAACTCAACATGTCTCCTTCCCTTTCCTAGCCATAGCTCCACGAAAAGCCCATTTTCAATCTTAACACACAATCTAAACCAATCTTATTAGGTTTAAGTAAGGTTGTGTCGACTTACAAACATGGACATGAAAATTAACTGTTTTAATTTAAAATCTTTGACAAATTTGAATTGTGTTCTCCTTGATATGAATTCATAGCACATTTGAGAACAATTAATAATCAGTATTCTTGTACTAAACCAAGCTCTCTAGTTTTGTCTTGAAAATTTTCACTAATCGGAAACTGGAATGAACCAATTTCTTTGAATGGACAAACGTTATTATTTACACCTCACTAGTCATTATAACTCCTACGTGAAGATTAAAAACAATCCATCTCCCCCCTACGCGATGGAGAAAAAAGAAACTAAAATTCATCAAACAAAAAGTCAAATTGCCATGCATTTTGTTTTTCTTGTATGCCTTGTTGCATCCACCGCCGGTGGTGCCGCCGCCATGAGTACTCAACCGGCGCCCGGCTTCTGCTGTTCGCGTTAAAAATCCAGTCGTTGGGCTTCTTTCACGTCCACCCAGGGAAAAGGCAGGCTGGACAGCACTCGGGACTGCAGATGAATCCACAAAGGCACAAACTCGGCCCAACTACGGCCAGGCCTGGCATCGCGAATGCTGGGCCTCTTCTTGGTCTTAACGGAGTTAAGACGGAGGAAGTGCTTCTGGGCGTGGCTCTCGCAACTTGAGTCGGCGTTCTCCAGATCACGGCGCTCCTCGATATGCTCCTCCAATCGCCTGCACAATATTACCAGTCACTACCCGTACTTTCACAATATCACCTTTTAGGATCTGATCATGGCATACATCTAAAATTTCGTGTGTGCTCTTATTTAATTTCAGGGTAACGAACATGTAGCAGATGAGAATATTTAAAAGTCGATTCTTATTGACCTATATAGCTGGTGAATCATCAAAAGGTTGTCTAATTAGGAGGGATTTAGCCTACTAGAATGAGTCTTCTAATCATTTTAAAAATGAGCTCAGTGGCGTGATGTGCCTGCAATTGTTGTGCATCATTGTTGGCGGGTTGGCGGATTGATTTTCCTCTCCTTGAACAAGCACATACCTATACATCGCCAACAAGTTGACCAATTTTTCAACAAGATTGAAAATGTGCTCATCGTTTTATTTTACACTACTTTAAAGCAATTAACCGCTAGCTAGTCTCTTACTCTTCTCAGGAATCAGCAAATATGATTACTGTTATCTCTGTAAGCTTTTGGAATACTTGAGGAATATTAACGACACTATTTAAGGTGACCACATCACGTCTTGAAACGTTAAACATGAAGCGTACTTATAAGTGTTTACCCTAAAATAAAAAAATAAAAAGGTTCAAGTCCATTAGTTGTCGTTCGAAACATGTAGATACGAATTAAAAAATCTTTTCAGACACATATAACCATCGAAAAGGGTACATCGAGACACTATCTATCTATCTATTCCATTGTATGATCATGTTGACTCCGTATACTACCATGTCAAGATGAATACCTATACGCATATAACACCACAAAAAAAAAAAAAAAATTGAACATGCAGAAGCTGCATGCTCGCCGGCCGGAACCACCCGTAATTATGATCACCGATCACGGCCAGTAGTATTCTTCCGGCCAGTCAAAGAACGGCCGATCTAGATGATCATCATCAGCATCAACATCCATCTCCATGTCTGCAACTCCAGACGATGAGCTTGCTTGAGCATGTGACGAAGAAGAAGAAGGCACGACGTCAAGCTGTTGTTTTGGTCGTTGTTGTAATTCTCCCGTCATCATCACGTCTTCCAGCGGCCGCCGATCAAACGCTCCAAAGGTTCCCGACACCACGTAGATCCGGCACAGGCTGTACTCGTTCCTCAACTGCATTGCATTTCACCAAGAATGACAAAAAAGAAAAAAAAAACGTGTTAATACGAGAGTTATTGAAATGAACTACTTCTTTGACGTGTATCGTTTTACCTGAGGAACGGGAGACGACGAGGAGTTGCCGTGCCTTGCTCCTTGTATTATGGCTCTGTACTCGTTCATCTTCCACTTGGTCTTCCTTCCGGCGGGAGCTTTCCCCTTGTAGAAGACCATCGTCTTCTTCACCCCGATCACTCTACCGCCGGCGGTGTACACGTAGCTCGGGGACCCGGTCGCCTTCCAGTAACCCGACCTGGTGGTCCGGTTCGGCCTCCCTCCACGTGCCTCTCGCTCCTGCCTCGGCGCGAAGAAGAACCACTGCTCCGTGTCCCCTCGGCACATCTCCCCTGCCGCGCCTGCAACAACGTATATAAAAATCAGTTGGTCCCAATAACTCGCGCGAGTTGTTATCGATAACTAAACTATAACTAGACATTATATATACGTACTTGGAAGGTGCCAGGGGTCGAGCTCGTAAATGTGGACGACGGGGATGACTTGGTGGAGGTCGTGTCTGGTTCCTTGGAGCTGGTTGTGGAGGTAGAAGGAGACCAGTTCTTCCTCCGTTGGGTAGAAGCGGAAGCCAGGCGGCAGCTCCTCCATTTTTGCTTCTGCTTGTTTGCGTTTTGCTTCTTTTTTTTTTTCTCTTAGGTGGAGGAGGTTGGTGTTTGTTTATATATAGAGGTTGTGAAAATGGCGGGAGGGAGGAAGAAAGGTAGAAAGCCGAGTGGTATTGGAAAAAAAATGGCGAATCTTTGAGTTGTGGAAACTTCCACGCGGTTGCTCCGGGAGGAGGGAAAATTTACTGGTTTGTCCCTCGCGGAACCGGTCTTGTTTTTCGGATGTCTCCCCAGGTGATTCTCATGTACCCCCCTCATTACTCTCCGTCGTTGATCGTTCTATTAGACTATTACTGTTATACACCGTTCGATGTGAAAGATAGTTTTAAGCGATAATGGGCTGGGCCTACTTGCGGGAGTACGGGCTTTTAAAAAGCCCAGAAATCTTTGCCCTTGAGGTGATAAGCGAGAATCCAGGGCAGGCAGGGCAGCTAGGTAGCGAAAATGCAAACGCAACCAAGGAAGGAAAATGACGTACCTGCTTGGTTTTGGTTTTACTGCCACCGTCCGTACGTAGGTTCAACTTATTCCACAAGGTAGGTGTCAAATTTGTTCTCGCTGGCTTTCTCGCATTATTTCTAACTAGTGGGACCCCGGCCATTTGGCCTGAGGAAAGTGAGGTATAAAATTTGATAATGTAAGAGAGTGTATAGCTTATTGTTGTATAGTTTTTTTTTTAGAAACACGTGATAAAAATAGTGAATTTTCGTAAGAAAGATACATGAATGATGCAACGAATCAAAAATCAGCCTTATGAACCAAAATCAAGTACCTATTACCTTGTGAAACAATATTGTTTCTGGTAATATGATGAGGTGGAGTAAGTTTTATAGAAACCGAATTCCAGAAAATTGAATAAAAAATCGCCTATCCCGCCGGTTTTCGAGAAATGAGCATCTCACAATCGTTGCTAGCTTTTACTCGGCCCGTTGGCCGATTAATTTGCGTTATAAAACTTTCATCTTGTCATCATTGTACTTTCTGGTTTTTTGCCAAGCCATGATAAAATCGAAAGAAATCAAGAATGAACAACACGATTTGGGATAGGAACCACCGTTCCTGTATCCCTAGAAAATGGTGGTAAACACGGACTCACCTGCCAAATTGGTTTGGATTGAGATTTTTATCGGGTATCAGGGAACCATGTGATTATAAATTAGACTTGATCAAAACGGGCCAAAACTTGAAATTCAGCATGTTTGACCGACCCATGCCAAACTCTAATGATTCTTTACCTATAAACTTTCTATTTGAAAATAAAAAATAATGAAAGAAAAGAGATGACTGCAATTCCCTATTTGCACATCATTGATTCGGGAATAAAACTATAGAATTTCGAAAGGAAACTGAAAATGTTTAGGATCGTTTTAATGTTAAAAACAACCAAATAGATCTTTCTGTTTAGTTTTTTACTAAGAAATACCAAACGATTCCCTATAATATACACTATAATTTAATCATTATGATATCAAATAATTACATAATATATATTTGAAATGATAAAAATTGGACTATCTAATTGGGTTGTTCGAGGTTGAACCATTGAATAACTTCAAAATACATTATATTTTAGCCACTAAGATATAAAATAATAGCATAATATATATTATGCTAGAGAAAATAGCTTGTTTTAGAATTGAAAACCCATGATGTTCATTTGTTTTACTTGATGGGCAAATCCCGTGTAGGTCAGGCTCATTCAACTCTTTTATTTTATGATTAGCGGTTAGCCCATTAGAATCCATGCATTAGTTTATTGTTAATTTTTTTTCTTTTTAGCAATAAAAAGGAGTATTGTTTTTGCCTTTACATATATATTTTACCACCACGGATAAATAAAAGGACTTAAAGAAAAAAATTGACACTCCTCGACCCGTTTAAATCCGCATGTGTATGGTAAGTTGGCCCGTTCCACAGAGGAAAAAGAAAAAAAATTGACACGCTCTATTCTACCCTTCCTACAAACGCTCATGGAGCAGGGAATTTGAAATGGGGAAAGAGTTTTTTCCTCTCTTCGATTATATGTTCTAAATTTAAGAAGATACAACAAATGTACTTAGTGTGATTGGTTATGATCTTTGCTTTTCTTTAAAGTGATCATGGTTCGAATCCTAGTAAGTGTCTTTTTAATGAATAAAAAAAAGTAATTGTGAAGACCAAAATGTCCTTCCTACTTTCACTCTGGATGCAGGAAATTTGAAATGGAGCTTCAAGTTTTCTCATTTGGCTTTTATTTATTGTGTAGATGCATGAATTTGTCTTAACTCTTAATTAATTCCCCTTCAATAACGTACCCACGAGTTTATTTATTTAATTATTTAATTAATTAATTTTAACGCGGCAATGATAATAAACATTAGTGGGACTGCTTGGCTACGACGATCCACTCGACTTGATTTGGATATATATATGTGGACGTGAGTGAGTCGGTGAGTCCTGAAGTATTCGTATAAATGGCGATAGCTAGCTAGGCAAAAAAAAAAAAAAAAAAAGACACCAAGGCCCAAGGGGTCTTCTCTTGACCAGCTTGGACACGACTCCCACCCATAGCTTAGTGGTGGTGGTGGACTTGTGATCATGAAAAATTTATAACATTATGTTTATGTGTATATATAATAAGGTTTTGCCAACAACTAAAACCAAAGCTCTTTTCCACATTCACTATAAACACCTAATCGATTACTTACAACAATCGATTAATAAATGTTTAGTTGAGTTCTAACCACTCACTAAACTGGTTTTAGATTCGATAACAACACTATCCATTTTTTGGAAGTGGCAAAGGAATCGAAAGTGGCAAAGGGATCGTTGCACTACCACGTGAGCCTTGTGCTCTAGTTCCAAGGTATACTCCAGCGAGAGTGCGGAATGTTCACATGTCCCATATGTTATTAAGCAACTATTTGACTCATTGTAATTTTCTCGACCATGTATGACATTTTGAGGATCTATTAAGTTACGTATAAAATATACGTACTAATATTTTAGTTGATATCTAAATTAATGATGTTTCTAATAGTACATCAATAGTTATTGGAAAAAATCCAAAAATGCACGAGTTATTAAAAACAATTCCCAATCTACAACACTTGTACAAATATTTCCCAAAATACCAAAGTTTTACGTGGTTCGAGTCGGACAACCTCGATCTACAGATAATTTCGAGTGACAGAGCCTCGATCCACGAGCATCGTAGTAAATCCACTCGATTGGCGGAGATCTGACGGTAAGGATCGAGCTTCAGTGCCACGATCCGCGTAGATCGAGGGTGATGGACTCGATCTATGCCAAAAGAAGATTTTTCGCCCTCCGAAATTGTGGGAATTACCATAAACGTTCCATTAATTATCTTACATAAATATTACCATTTAATGTTTTTCCTTTTTTATTCTGTTTTGAAAATAAACTTCCTTTCTTCGCAAGAACCCTTCCTTTTTCTCACCCTATAATCCAACGTTCAAAACTCTTCCTTTTTATCATAAAAAAAACCCTTCCTTTTTATCATAAAAAAAACCTTCCTTTTATCATAAAAAAACAGTTTTTTTTATTACAAAAAACATCCCTTTTTGTAATGAAAATGTATATTAATTTCGCATAGCATAATGCACCGGATTAAAAAACCTTCCTTTTTTTGTTAAGAAAGGATGCTTTTATTTTCAAAATGAAATGAAAAAGCTAAGTAATAAATAGGTAAACGTTGGGCAATAATTAACACGTTAATCCACATTCAATGCCCTATCATCCGTTCGAATTAAATAGGGTAATTAATGGAAACGTTTTTGATGATTCCCCATAACATTGGCCGACGAAAATAGGGTTTAGGGGGGTGGTTCGAGGCAAAGAAGATCGAACGGCGGAGATCGAGTTTCTCTTCCTCGATCTATTGCGACCCTTCACTGGATCGATGATTACTGACTCGAACCCTTCAGTGGATCGAGTTTCTTTGACTCGAACCGCGTAAAACTTATGTATTTTGGGAAATATTTATGTAAGTGTTGTAGTTTGGAAATTTTTTTTAATTAATCTTGCATTTTGGAAAAAAGACCTTAGTTATTCCTTTCCGATACCCAATATAGTGGTCGGTGTCGTGATCAAGAGACCAAGTCTCACGTTGTTAGATGTTCAAGGGAACATATGATAAGGGCAAAAGACAGTTAACCTCGATGAGTCTTTTTGCACCCTCCCACAAAATCTGTCCCCTTCCCAATTTGTATCTATGTACAAAGTTAGGCATCTTTATTGGTTTCCAATTCGCAAAGATCCAAAAACCTTACCATCCAAAAGGCAACACATATATTACTTGTCAATTTTCATTGTGCCTTTTCTACCTCTTCAATTTTTTGTTCATGCCGCGTTCCTAGGGCTGTCAATTTGGTTTGGTTTGGTTAACTAAACCATTAATTATGAAAAACCAAAAACCAAAAACCAAATCCCAAAAACCAAAATCAAAACCATTAAGGCCCTATTCACTTTCATTTTCGTTTCCTGTTTTCTGTTTTCATGTCATAAATTTGGCAACCGAAATGAGAAAACTTGTTTACTTTTCATTCCGTTTTCTATTCGTTTCCAACTATGAAAACAGAAAGTGGCAACTTCCTGCTGTTTTTGGAAACGAAAAAATGTTGTTTTCACCTGTTTTCAACATCTGTTTTCTCAAAAACAGGAAACAGAAATGAAAGTAAACAGGCCCTAAGGTTCTTATTGGTTTTTGACAACCAAAAACCAATAAGGACCTTAATGGTTTTGGTTTTGGTTTGGATAACAAAAAACCAACATGTACTCATGCACTCATATTTATTCCTATTTCCCTCCTTTTTATTGAATAAACGTCATAATAATGGTAAATGGTCATTACAAATTATTGGTTGGCATGCGTGTCAAAAGAAACAAAAAAAAAATATTTGTTGATAAATAATTTTATTCTTATTGATTTCTTAATGGTTTCTATTGATTTTTTGGTTTTAACCAAACCAAAACCATTAAGTTGCTTATTGGTTTAAAACCAAAAAACTAAAACCATTAGCTTTCCAATTGGTTTGGTTTTGGTTAAAACCAAAACCAAATGGACAGCCCTACGCGTTCCCACGGCGTCTTGTCTTCCCAATTGGGTTGTGTTGAGGGTTATCCTTGACTTCTACTTGACCTTTCAAACTCTATGCTACCACCCTTGGTCTTCAAGAATCCCAACACAAATAATGAAAACCAAGTCTTCTCCATGTATGGATGCCAGTTGTTCCCCATTTAGTCGTTTACTGTCATCAGACCAATACGATAACAAGATGAGAAAGGCCCGCGAGCTAGTTTAGTGAAATTCGAGTACGTGGTGATTCTGAAAGATTAATGATAAAGATGTTCTGGCGGAGAAAATTTTGTTTTCACAACGTACTTATCAAATATCGTTACACCAATGCTTGCAAAGCTTGAGATTTCGACTAAGATAAGAGCTAATTTGTGCAATTTTAAATTATTATGTCGTTCCCCATATATATGTTTATAGTCGTTTGATATCAAACACTGAGACGAATTGCAGGTAAGGATTTGCGATGACGCATCAGGACCAGATCACACCGAACCATACATTATATGAGCCGTAATATCATGAATTTTATTAATACTGAAAAAAAAAACGAATTGACATTCGGATCGAACCAAAGCGGTCCAAATAAACTGGTGGCTCTATATAGACACTGCTTGATGTCCAGAAGATCACCTGTTCGGCCCAGCGGGATATACTTCTCGAAGTCTTAAATTGACTTGGATTGGTACACGGTGGGCTGGGCTTCATGTAATGTTTTTTTTATGGGCCTTCTTTTGCGGATCGTCCCTCTAGGTCGCCCTTAGTGTCTCCGATGGATTTACGCAAATCCATCTTGAGGAGTGAGTTGGTTTCCCAGTTTTCATCTCTTGAGATTCTATATTTGGTGATGCCCAATGGCAGGAGCATGTGATATGAGTAAGCTTAGGAGTTTCAAAACAAGGCAGTTCTCTAGCTGAGCTCAACCGTTGTTTACACAACAAAATTAACCCGAAAGCAACAATCATCAAGTCAACCTGGGTCTTTAGCCTTGTGAGTTGAATAAGAGTATAAGGCATAGTTCAAACTCAACTCATTTACTAACAATTGGAGTTTCAAAACGCCTTATTCTAGCTAGTATTATATCATTATACCATCACCATTTTTTCCTGTACTTTTAGCTCGTTTTAGGAAAGTTATATATTATCGTGGTTTAGAAAAAAATGGAGTGGCAGAGGAATGGATCACTAAGCTCGAGACAGCAAAAAAGGGTAAATGAAAGCGCACTGATGGGCAACTTTTGAGAATAATTGCCAAATTATTGAGGAGAGAGTCAAGAGTTGGGAGCATTTGCATAGAAAGACGTGCATGAGAATGAGAATTTGCAGAGAACCAAAACATTTGGGCCTGGGCCCGGCCCCGGCCCGAACGAAAGGTACGTGCAACTTCATCCACTCCTTTTCCAACAAACAACCGTCCCTCAAGCTCAGGAATTTCCTCTCCAATAGCAACAGGGAGGGAGGCCAGCAGTCCACAGTCACACACATCAATTATTGTGCTGTCTCCCAAACAAATCGATTTCGCAATCGTGTTCGGTAAAAACTAAAACATGCTCACAACGTTATGCTCCCGTCAAACTGATGGCGGACGATCCACACCACAACAATCACAATGATGCGCAATGACGATTAATGAAAATAGCATCACATCTGTTCAATGAGTACAAGAACATCCTTCTTCGATCCGAATCGTCCGACGAACACGAAACGCTATCTCATGGGCAGTTGGCATTGTTTTCTTTTTTACCTCTGTTCTAGTTTTGGTCCATGTGAAAAGTCCAAGAGCCTCGGAAACCGGGTTAGTGGAGTTATTTTCATTCCCCACAAACATGCCCTTGCAATTTGCATGCCTTGTCCCCAATTTTCAACCATCACTTTTGAAGAAAGTGGAAAAAAAAAAGTAAAAGCAAAAAACAGAAAGACAAGAAAAAAAAAGGGGTGAAAAAGAAAAATCCCACTAACAGGAAAGCTAGTCTCGGTCGCCTTCATAAATGACCCTCTTGTTTCTCCCCACACCATTGCCATCCCATCTCTACGGCCTCTTCTTCCTCTCATTTCTCACCAACCTCCCTTTTTCCACTGTCTCTACATTAGCTATTAACGACCATGATCCGGTGGACAGGAGTGTTGTTGTCCACCGGTCATGGTCGGAGCGAGAGAGAACCGGAAGCTAATCAGAGTCGTCGATGATGATGACAGCAGTGCTCAGGCAGAGAAACGAGAAGCAGTTGCGACGATAGCCGACGACTTACTGTTAAAAATGTAAAGGAGAAACTCGAAAAAAGACAGAGATCAGAAGTTTGGCTTTGCAACTACACTCTCCTCGTTTTCTAGCCTCGATGCTCGTCGGAGCAGAGAAATGAGCAGAACTGGGAGAGTGTCAATTGTTGCATTGCGCAGGGGGAATTGAGGGTAGCGGTCCGATTTACCTTTTTTTTCCCCATTATGGTCACTTTGTTTTACTTTACTATTTTCACTATCCTTTTAGCTCTCTATATTTTTGCTCCTACTAATAGCTGGCATGGTAGGAGCATTTTTTTTCCTTTCTCATTGTACGTTAGACGACATGGGATGTAAGGAATGCATACTTACGAGGCAAGCTACAGAGTGCGCTATAGAAAGCTGCCGAGCATGCATTTCTTACACCTATTCAATAACACAAATGTATCCTTCTTTGTTTTCTCTTGTTATAAATGAGGGAAAAAAATTGCAACATGTGAAAAAGTGATTTCACAAGTGTGTCTTACTAATTAATTTTGATTCGATTTCGATCATTCTTTCGAAGAGTAGATTGAAATTCAATATGGGTCGGATTGAATGGAACCGAACATAATCCAATCTTGCATACTTACGAGTACAGAGAAACTCAATTTGGATCCATCATATTCCAACCCCGTCCGGTTTGAGTGGGCTTTTACACATCGGGCCTGCAATTGTGAAGCCCACTATTCGGCCCACGAAATTTACCAGTTGGGAGTTGGAACTCTTCTGTAGCATGGATTTGTCCTCCTCTCCATCTACTTTCCTTGTTTGAGATTTGAATGGAATCAGGTTGATTATCGAATGAAAGTGAACGTCGGAACGTAGAACAATGGAGGAACGATCTCCGATCGACCGAATATCATCCCTCCCCGACGAAATCATCCACAAGATCCTTTACCGTCTAGACGCTGCAAAACAAGCGGCGAGGACCAGCGCGCTCTCCCGGAGATGGCTCCATCTCTGGCGAACTTACCCGGTGGTGGAGTTTCACGGCGAGGAGTTCAACCTCTCCTTCTCCTTCCAACGCTACAAAAAAATCGCCGACTTATTAGCGGCCCTGGCCTCGAGGCTTTCTCTCTACTACGAGAATAAGAGGACGCCTCTGGAATCGTTCAGGTTATCGTTGCTAACGATGACCGATCACACTCGCGGTGAAGACTTAGCCGTGGTGCTGAGGTCGGCGCTGGACCGCGCCGATTACGGATCGCCGCTCGAGGTCGTGATCAGAACCGAACGCGCCCAAATTTTGCCCAAGGGATCGTTCTCCAATTTCAGCCGCACGAAAGTTCTCGAGCTCGTCGGCTGTTGCTTGGATGGATTGGGGAAGGTTTCTCTGCAGGGTCTCCAGGTTCTTCATCTCGTAAACGTCACGCTCAGGGAACAATGGCTCTACGGTTTCGTGGGTAATGCTCCTAATCTCGAGTCTTTGAGCCTGCAAATGTGTGGTGGAATTGGGAGGCTGGAGGTCTCCGCTAGAGATTTCCCCAAATTGAAAACCCTAGACATTCGAACAGGGGAGTCTGATTCCGGGACTGAACTGCAGCTTACTACAGCTCCTTTCCTGGAGAGTTTGGTCTTTCACGAGTCAGGGCAGCCATGTAAGTTGAGAGCAGAATCGTTATGTTCAGCTCCGAATCTTAAATTTGTGAGAATTGTTAGCTCCAGAGAATGGACGGAGGTGGATCTTGATGGGTTCATTACCCAGTTGCCGTTTCTTTCTAAGTTGGAAATCCTTCGCATTTTTTTGGGATTTGATTCTCGTATGGAACTCCGCCTTAGTTCATCCCCTTGCCGGAACAGTTTGAAGGTTATAGATATTCGTGGGAGATGTAACTTGAATATAGAATCACCATCTGCAGCTCCCAATCTCAGAGTTTTGAAACTTGGCGTCCCCTTGGGATTTACGCAGAGCCAACTTGATGGTTTGGTTTCCAATTTGCCATCTCTTGAGTCTCTTTACTTGGAGATCAACCATGATGGCAGCAGCAGCAGCAGCAGCGGCAGGGGAATGACTAAGATGAGGGTTTCGCCTCATCGGCGGCTTCGAGTGTTGGAGTTGCATGACTACTACGGGACAGAGGCATTGGAGGAGCTTGAAATTGATGCTCCTAATTTGGTTCATGCCAGGTACAGTGGAAGTGGGTTCAGGTTTCCTGAGAAGATTAATGTTCTACATGTGCCATCTGATTGTCAATTCATAGTTGAAGGGCAGTGTGACCATATTGCTGAAACACGCTTGACACACGAATCGTTTCTTGGATTGCGGCATTCTCTCTCAGCATTGAGTCGATTTCACCTGGTTCTGCTGTTGCGTGGCTTAGATCTGTCACAAGAGGTATCGGTACTTCCGAAGAATCATTGTCTGTCTTCCTTTGCTAACGGTAGTTTTCAGTACATGTCGATAGTTACACCTTCATTCATATGCTTCACCCCTTTCTGTTGAATTCAGGTTTCTTTCGATCTGAGTCGAGCTGAAAGTACATCCCCTCCTCTGATAATTCAATATTTGCGTATTGAGATCTCATTACGGAGATGGACCAAAGTTCGGTATGGTGCTACTTTTCTCGATGGTTTGTTCTGGGCTTGCCGCCCTAAACTCGTATCTGTATCTGAGTGTTATGATGGGATCGCCGTCTTGCCTAAGGTAAATTCATCTTTTCTGCCCGAGAGTAGATGTTTACTTTGTTAAGACCATTTGTCCTCCTTGCGATCAGTTCAATAATATGACTTTTTGTTTGTACGGAAACAGTTTATTCCAGAGCAAATTCAGAACAAAGACATTGCTGCTAATTGTTGTTATGGCGCTAAGTGTTGGCGACATCACCTTAGGAATGTGAAGATGGAGACGGTAATACATTCGAAGATTTGGTTTGAGTTGACATGGTGTTAACTACCCATACCTACACTTCAGTAGGGATGGCAACAGATTGGGATGGGGCTGGTTTTCCTATATGCTGTTCCTGAACCACGGTTCTAAAATCCACTCGAGCATTCATGCCTTTTCGGTTAAGCTTAACCTCGATTAACTTCATCATTCCAATGAGCTGGCGTATTGTTTGCGATCGTCGATGAGCATCTCCAAGGCCACGCCTCAGGAGGAGAAGAGATCGGCTTAGAGAGCACTTTGCAATCAAAGACGCATGTAAGATGTAACATGACTTTCATGAGCTAATTTCCAACCTTCAACTAGAGATTATGCTTCTACTTCAAACAGTGATGAACAAAGAAACTGGTTCAGCTCCGCATTCTATTTACTTGTGGAAATGGATTTTAGTTCTAATTTTCATGTTTCAATAAAATAACGAAGGCATTTTCATTTTTCTGTCATAGAAGAAAACGGCTTTTAACTCACCCTTACCCACCTTCACCATTCACAAACATGTATGCAACTCTCTTTAAGTATATCAACTGAGAGAAACCACCTAGCTATTCATTGCTGCAGAAAACGAAATAAAGTGCAAGAAGAACAACTAAACCATACTGTTCATTAGCCATACCAAGAATACAAATCCAGAATCATGCATTTGGTCCTTTACGTCTCTATTATCTATGGAGATTAGTTATATACACTAGATGACAAAACTTTCCAGCATGCCGATATACATTCAATTCAACAAAGCCTTCAAAAGAATGAAGACATGGAGCAAAAGATCTTCAACAGACTGAAGACAGAATGATACCTCCTAAATCTACACTAAGCAATCAAAAGTTTTGATTGGGAGCCATCGAGCTGAAACGAAATTCCGAGAGCCACCAAAAGGGTATCATCAGAAGATGATCAAGACTCATTGGATCACCAGAAGATGATCATGACTCGAGGGATCACCAGAAGGTGATCATAACTCGAAGGCGATCACCAGAAGGTGATCGAACAACCCTAACCCTACTTGCACATTCACCACCAGAAGGTGATGATCAATATGTCCAAACCAAGCTCCAACGAACCAACCATCCATCCAGAACTCACCGCATTGACATCAGTGTGCGAACCCTTTTCTCCCTTTCTTCCTTCTTAGCAGCAGGGGTACGCTTAAGCTTATCCAACTCCTGCTTCACTGCTTCCCCAACTTTGTCAATCGAGTTGAGTAGCTTTTTCTCTGGTGTTAAGCACTCTGCCCCTGGAGATGGTTGATTTGCAATCTCGTGGATCAGCTTCTGCACCTTACCGAGCTTAGGACGAGGATTGCTTTTGACCCTGCTGCTGCTTGCTGGATATGGAGACTTGGACTTTCCTTGCTTGAGATGAACTGGGTTGGGAGTTTTGAAAGAGTCAGCAGCAACTCTCGGACCTTGAACAGTCGGTGACCCAATTTCTTGGCCTTGCACTTCTCCCTGCCTTCCCCTCCTCCTTTCAATGGCCTGCGTCAAGAAAAGTTCATCCAATTCAAAACCAAGGGGCGAACACCCAACCCTTTACTTCAATTCCTCAAGCAGGAAAGAGGCCATTGCAACTGAATAACTTAAACCAGAAAAAACCCAAGAGCGGTCTCCAGATAGCAAACGAAGAACCTGATACTCTCTGCCCACATTCCCAAAATCGAAATTCAACTTCTTTTCCAGGCGGGACTGAGAAACAGATCGAAATAACAAACATGACTCCAAAAAGCACCCCATTCAAACAAACAACCATCCCTAGAATCAATCGAATCAGAGAAAGAAAGCACAGAGAACGGAGAAAGAGAAACTGAATTTGGGGGTTTTACCCTGAGAATGGCGGATATGTCCTGGAGAGGAGTTCTTGGATACCAAGATGGCAGGTCGCTTCTTCTCTCACCACTCCTCGCAGCACTCGCGTTCTCGATTCCCCTCGATCTGGAAGCGTATCTTCTTCTCCTCGTCTGAATATCTCGACGACGACGACTTCCGGCCGAACCGGGACGAAACCCAGGCCCGAACACTGTCCCGGGTCGCTCCACCGGAACCGGCTCCGACACTCGAGATCCAAACAGCGCCCTGTCCAACTCGTCTGTGTGAACCCCGATTGAACGACTGCGAGCATAAACGGCGGCGAAGTCCACTTCCCTAACCAATCTATCCCTGGATTCCGGCATCTTTCCTCCTCTCACACTCAGTGGGCTTCAATCGGAGCAAACACAAACAATAACCCAAGATAAGTTTCGAGAATCGTTAATTCTTTCCCCTAGATTAAACTTGATTCTACCGAATGGCAAGAAAACGATTCGAACCTCAACAGAGTTTAGGGTTGCAGTCGTTTACCTTCGGTGAAGATTGGGATGGTTCCGAACAGAGCTTTGGCGAAGGGAAAATGTGAACTTGCTTTCGCCGGGAAGAAGGTAAATCGAGGAGGAAGGACCAGGCTCTGTTGTGCTCTGTGGGTTCTGGAGGAGGAAGCTTGGGGAAATGGCGACGGCGAGAGGCGAAGTCAGGGGGAAGCAGAGCTATTTCAGTGGCGAATTCGAGGGGAGCTGATTTGGTTTTTGGCACGTGTGTTTGTGTTGGCGGTTCAAAATTTCGAACGGCATTGCCATGGGCGGGATAACAAGTCTTCAACGGGTTTTATACTTTTTTTCGATTTCACGATTTGAAATTACAGTTGCACCCTTTCGTAGATACGGGCTGTTGGACCGGTCTTTGGTTTTTCTATATTTGGGCTCATTTTCAATTGGGCCCTAGGCCCTGCCCAGTCCCTCTCTCTTCTCGTAAAGAGAGAAAACCGGAGTGTGAAAATGCAAAACCAGTTAGGGCGACGGAGAAGCGACGGCGGCTCGGCGACCGGATATCGGCACTACCGGACGAGATCATACACACCATCATCCCCAGCCTCGACGATACACAACAAGCGGCGAGAACCAGCACGTTGTCCAGAAGATGGCTCCACCTGTGGCGATCTTATCCGGTGCTGGAGTTCCGCGGCGGCGACGAGCGATCAAAGGCCTCCGCCGCAGAGTACCGGAAATTCGCCCGATTGGCCGTCGCCTCGTCCCGCAGGCTCTCTCTCTACCACAAGAATTTCCGGTATGGCGTTGGATTCGTTCAAACTGTCGCTGATGAACTTCCCCGGATCCTGTCCCCTGTACGTGAGAAAAGCCTTCGACAGGTTGCTAGACAAGGCGCCGGGGGGCCAGAAGCGGATCGCCGCTCGAGATCGTGGTCAGGACCGGATGGCCACAGTGGTTTCCGGCAGGATTGCTGGCCAATTGCAGCCGGACGAAAGTTCTCAGGCTCGAAGGCTGTGATTTGAACGGACTGGGAAGAAGAATCTCTCTGCAACGTCTTCAGTTCCTTCATCTCAAATCGGTCCGAATTACAGAACAATCGGTCTACAATCTCGTGGGGAATGCAGGTAATCTCGGGCGTTTCTGTCTGGAATCGTGTTGTGGAATTGAGAGGCTTGAGATCTCTGCCAGCAATTTCCCCAAATTGAAAACCCTAGTAATTCGAACATCAGGATCTGGTCCGGGCTCCGAATATGAACTCCAGCTCACTACAGCACCTTTCCTAGAGCAGCTCGGATTGTTTGAGGGGGAGAAAGAAGCCATGTAGGTTGAGATCATTGTCATTGTCTTCGGCTCCGAATCTCAAGATTGTGACAATCATCAGCTTCTGCAGTGGGAAAATCGCAGGGGGAGATCTCGACGACTTCATCACCAAGTTGCCATCTCTCCAGGTTCTGCAGGTGTTTCCCATGGTTTGGAAGGTTGGCTTCAGCCCTTTGCCTGAAGACGTTCAGCCTCAAAGATTTGAAACTTTCTGCCCCCGTGGAACTTAGGCAGAGCCATCTTAACCTGATTTCAAGCTTGCCATTTCTGGAGTCTCTTTCCTTGCAGTTCATTCGTTGTAGCAGCAGCAGCAGCAGCACCGAAACGAGCAAGATAAGGATTTGGAGCCATCGGCTCCGGGTGCTCCAGTTGGAATGCCGGGAGAGGAAAGTGCAGGAGCTCGAAATCGATGCTCCGAATTTGGTTAGTGCCTACTGCAGTCGGGATAAGCTTTGGTTTCCAGGGAAGATTGCTGTCGTGAATGCGTCATCCGATTGGCGATTTGTAGTTGCGCGCCATGATGCTGAATCTCACTCCAGAACGCGCTTGACACAATAATGGTTTCTTGGGTTGAGGCATTCTTTCTCAACATTGTGCCCCTTGCACCTGGATATGAGGTTGTATGGCCTGGATCTTTCCCAACAGGTATGATGTTTCTAATCAACACAAACCAATGAGCATCACAAGTTGAATATTTAAGAAATCATAGAACTTTTGTTATTTACTTGTGAGTTCTTTGCTTTCAACTACTGCGATCTCAATCTTAGTCAGAATTTCATTCATATATTCACAAATGTGCTCGTTAGTTCATTATATGTTTCCTGTTTTAATTTTGCAAATCAAGGTCTCATTTGATTATCGTCGAGCTGAAAGTTCTTGGCCTCCTCAATTCATTCAAGTCTTGCGACTAGAGACTACATTGCTAAGATACCCTAGCTCTCGAGATGATGAAACTCATAGGGTTTCTCAGTGTTTACAAACCTCATGGTTGAAACATCCCGATGCGCAAAATGTTGTTACTTTCCTTGATGGTTTATTTTGGGCATGCCGACCTAAAGTCATTTGCATAACTCGACATTGCGATCTAAATCGTTGGTTGGCTGAGGTAGGCTTTACCCCCTCTCCCCTTACACTATTACTAGTTTAATTTCTTACAACCATTAGTCCCTTCTAATATGCATTAGTCATGCAATTTGCATTGGAACAGTTTATGTACCAGCAACTCGAGAACACAAGCGTTGTCAACTGTTGTGTTAATGCGCCATGTTGGAGACATGCACTTAAAGATGTAAAGATGGAGTTTTCATACGAGCTTTGCAAGAACGAGCCTTCACTACCCTCTCCAAAGAAACATTTGAAGGTTTCATTTATCTTAGCATGGGTTTAATTATGCGGCTCTCCTGATTGCTAATACGATGTTAATACAGGCCTACAAAGAGGTCTCTTACAGCCCTAAAGAAAGCCAAGGAATGAACGTTGCAAAACTAGTAACTGTCCACTTTCCAATCTCCCCACACTTCACTTCATTGCCTAATGCCTATGCAAGCAGAAAGATTTGCCATGTTCTTATGACGCGGCCTAATGCATACGTTCGAGCCTACACGACTCGAATCATGAACATTCGACGAATGTCTATGCAATCTGCACAAATTTGCCCTGTTCTTATGACGCGACCTGGTGCATACATTCAAGCCTACACGACTCGAATCATGAACATCCGACGAAACCTACCGGGATTCGGGTTTACAGTCCTGCTAGTAGTGCGAAATCAGAACATAGGGGGAAGACCAATTTCATCGAGAATGAACAGAGATATACAAAATTTCCCATCTAACAAATTTCTCTTGATCAACAAACCAATTTCTCAAATTACAGCCCTACAGATAAACAAACAATTTTCGATCTTCAATGAATCAATCAATCAATCCAGAAAGCCGGTTTTCCGCCAAATTGCATTCCTTACCTGTTTAAGATCCCTCCCCTTAAGCGTCCTCCCGGCGCCTTCCAGCACCGGGCAGGACAGAATCGGGGACTGCGTCCTGGCCACGATCTCGTGCGGGGGAAGCATCTCGCCGTCGTAGCCTTCATCCTCGTCCAGCTCATCAATCTCGTCGAATTCCCTGTTCCGCCTCCTCGCCATCGCGGAGGCGAGGATTGGAACGTTGATTGGCGCCGACTGCGGGTGCTGGTGCCTGGAGAAGGAGGAGGACGACGGCAACCTATCCTGCGGCGGTTTGGGGATGAGGCGCGAGGAGGAGGGCGAGGCGGTGGAGGAGGAAGGAGGAGAGGGGAGAGCGGTTTTCTGGTACAAGTGATGGTGATGCGCGGCGGCGGAGCTGTTCTCCGGCAACGCCGCGAGGATTCCGAACGAATCGGGGAAGGCCTTGTGGCGCGGCGAGGTCGAGGGAGAGGGAGAGCTGCGAAGGTAGTGGTGTCTTTGCTGTTGTTGATTTCGGGAGGAATCGGAGGAGAAGTCGCCGGTGGAGAAGATGTCGTCCTCGTTGAGCTCGCTGTCCTCGGCGGCGGCGGCGAGGATGCTGTCCTTTTCGTGGTGGAGCGGCGGCGAGAAGAAGGCGTCGAGGAAGCGGTAGGAGGAAGGAGGGGATTTCCGGTGGCGGAAGCGTGCAGATCCGTGGATGTCCATCCGGCGGCGGGGCGGGTCAGTAAGCTGTGAATCGGCGATTGGTGCCGTCCACTAGCAGAGGAAAGGAAAGGCCGATTTGGATGTTTCCTTGGAAAGGGGAAAGTTGAAGCGCGTGTGGAAGACATAACCGAATCTCCGTCTTTTTCCATGGATTTGGGTTGACGTGGCTGAAAGATCAGTGCACAAAACGAGTGGGAGTGATTCTCTACTCCTATGTGTAGATTTGGGTAGGGCTGGGCATGCGGACGGATCATCCGCGGGTTTGGGCCGACCCACCCGCATTTGACCCGAATTTCGTTAAGTGGGTGGGTCTGTGGGTGGGTGACGAGTTGCGCTGGGAGCCATCCGTCGGGTGGTGGGTGGTTTGTGGGTGAGTGTGCGGGTGACCCGCTCAACCTAACAGCAAAAAGATCAAAGTCATTGGCGCTAGAGAGAGGAGAGTGGAGACGTTAGATATAAACTCGGACTGCTCCTGGAGTTTGAACCTCAAAGCCAACCTTCCAAATAGAGATCCCCTCTTCTTCCCTTTACTTTTTCCTCTAATTCTTGTGTCTAGATCACCGCTCTTTCCTTTGTGGAATTATTTTTCTTAGTTCCTTGCACCTGATAATCATCTCAATATGTAGAAAACTCTTTCATAATAGAATTTCTATCCAATTTAAGAACTAATTCGACATTTTTCGCCCTATTTCAACTTCTTGTTTCCCTCGATGATTCTCTTCGCCTATTATCATGTCAAGTTGATTCCTTTATATTATATACATTGTGATGTGGGTGAACCCACAAACCCACCCGCATCATCCACCATCCGCCCGACCCAACCCGAGACTAAATGTGGGTGGGTGGTGGGTTAAAAATTATCAATCCGTTTAAGCGCGGGTGGGTGCATTTTATGGTCAAAATCCACCCGACCCACCCAATGCCCACCCCTAGATTTGGGGTAGTTTTGACTTGTGATTTGTGAGAATGGTACAAAGGAAACCGTATAATAAGCCCATTAGTTAGAAATAGGCCCGAAGCTCAGAAGACTGAAGCCCAAACACAATTTCCGAAAGCCCATTACACAAATTGTAGAACCCATTGCACCGGCCTGCGGCCTCCGGAAAAAGAAGGCTTACCTCCTAGAGCCTACAGCAAGAGGTATATGCCGATGCCCAACCTGGCAATTTGAACCCGGCCCGCAGGTATTACCTGATCGGACCCGTGATGGGGCGGGTATTACCCGACCCACAATAGTTTTGGGGCGGGACAAGAGTATCTACTTTCGCCCCGCCCCGTCCCATTTTATCCCAATTTCTTATAGTATTTATTCATATTCTTCCTATTTTGACTATTCTTCAACTGGGTAGGGTCGATCTTTCCACTAGTTAGACTCAATTACCCGTTTCATCATCACTATTTTTCATTCATACGTATTTTCTACTTTATTTTATTGTAAAAAGTAAAATTTTGCGTGTATTTTATTCAAGTAACATGTAAGAGTGGGTCGATCAGCACCACCCCGACTCATTGCCATCAATAAGTTATTGGAAGGAGTAGGGGGATGTGCAATAGTTTGGTCGGTATAAAATTGTATAAGAACACGTCATACATCCTGGGTGGTGTCATACTCCAGGAAGTCCTTGTTCTTAGCTCATCTCTCCACCGTGTATCGTTTCATTTTGCGCAGTGTTTTTATTTTTGTAGGTGACCTTTTATTGCGCCTTTTCTAGGTGGCCTCTTTCCGGATAGTTTGACATCTTTGGACATGTTGCAAAGTGGCCGGTCTAGCTAGGCCTTGTTAGTTATTTTCGCAGGTATCTTTGGCGATGTTACCCAAACAGTATTATGGGTTTGCAATTTGAATTTGCTGCTCTGCTTCAGTTTTGATGAGCTTGATCCATGATTTTCTCCCTGCAAAGGGTAGTAGTTAAGTTATGGATTCTGCTTATTACATAAAGGTAATTATAGCACTGTTCATTTCGTGGCGTCGAGGTCCTATTATCGTCAAAACCCGAAAATGTCTTTTCCTTTCTGATTGTTGGTTTGACCTGCAAAGGTCGTGTTTATACTTTATTGTAATATGTATCTGCTCTTCCCTTTGGGTATATATATATATTTTTTTTTTTTGCATTAAGGGAGGCAAAAGCCAAGAAAGAAGAAGACAGGGGGTTACAAGGAAGCCGAAGCTACAACTCGACGTTCAAAAGTCACACCCATCTCGTCATCGTGAAGGAATCATCTCAGATCACTTGGCGGGTCAATAAGCTCATGCATACCGTAGGGATAGACGAGACTGTGCTTCGAGAGCCAGTCCGCGACTCTATTCCCTTCGCGATATGTATGCTCTATATTGACCAACCAATCTCGAGCCAAACATCTCCTTATCGAGGAAAGAAGGGAGGCATGAGGGTGGAGAGGGTCAACCCGATTCTTGATCCACTGAATAACCAACTGGGAGTCCGTTTCCACCTGCAGATTGACGCAACCGTGCCAAGCAAGGTTTAAGCCATGAAAAAGAGCCCATAGCTCAGCCAAACCCGCGGTGGCTTCACCAATTTGGGCCACAAACCCCGTAACCCATCTTCCCTGCTCATCCCGAATAACTCCTCCAGCACCTGCCAAGCCTGGGTTGCCCGCCGAGGCCCCATCAATGTTAAGCTTCCGCCATCCCGGAGGAGGCGCACTCCAACCAATATTGGCCACAACTCTTTCCGCCGCAGGGAGGGGATTCCGCAGATCCGTAGTGCTATCCGATCTCCACGCACTGTGCCAGAGAGAGGCTTTGTGCATGATCGCATGCGCCAGAGACGGGGCGGTGAGCGCTCCTGCCGTCCCATGGAAGCACATCTGACACCTGTTCTTCCAAATAAGCCAGATAGCAACTGCAAAAAAATCTTCCCTTTGGGTATATCTATGGCAAAAAAAAAAATGACATTTGGATTGAATATAATTGAACTGAATATAAAGTGGTTCAGTCCTTTGAAGAAAAGACCAAGTGGTGAAAGTGGTAATGGCAATTTGAACCCACTCAAAGGGTATTATCTGACCTAATCCACGATGAGACCGGTATTATCCAGACCCGCAGTAGTGTGGTGCGGGACATGAGTATCTACTTCCGACGCCCCCTGCCCCATCCTGTTCTTGGCACATCTATCTCAATCTCTTACAAATTTAAATATAGTTTTCCTATTTTGACTTTTATTCAACTATTTAGAATCAATCTTTCAATTTGTTCGACTCAATTACACATTCTATTATCACAATTTCCCAACCGTATAATGATTTCCCGTCCCACCCGGCCTCATTGCCATCGCTAGTGGAAAGTAAAGCATGCCATTCCCATGAACTCAATGAAGAAACAAGAAACAAGTGAAAAAACCAGAATTCAAAACAAGAAAAACCAAGTTACAAGACGACGACAACAACAACCAGACCAAAACAACGACAACAAAAAAAAAACACAAGATTGAACAAGAACCCTCAACATCACTCATCTGCTATACCCCATAACACCAGCCTTGATCCCTCGAACCGTATCCTCATCCGTCCTAAACCCTCTCGCCAGCACGTCATCATCAATCCCAGACGCAAAAACCGCCGCCGGAATCGAAATCATGCCACCACCACTCGCACTCCCAAACGCCGAGAACGCGACGGCGGTCTTCCTCCCGACATTCCTCTGAAAATGAACCAAACCCTTGGGGAAAACGAACGCGTCCCCCGACCGCAGCCGCCGCTGCGCGTAGAGGTTGTTGGCCGTGTCGACGAAGCCGACCTCGAGGACGCCGCGTGCCACGAGGAGGAGCTCGGAGGCGCGTGGGTGGGTGTGGGGAGGGTTGGCGGCGCCGGAAGGGAACTGGAGGACGGCGTAGGAGACGCCCTGGCCGGCGAGGGACGGGAACTCGGCGAGGGTCGCGGTGGAGATCGTGAGGGTGGTGGGCCGCTGGTGGAAGAGCGGGCGGATTCCGGTGAACGTGAAGTGATCTCCGGTGATGTTGTTGTTGTTGTTGTTGGTTGGGTTTGGTGGCGGCAGGGGGAGGATGTCGGGGTCGCCGGAGATGGAGAGTTGGAGGATGGCGAAGGAGGAGAGGAGGAAGGGAAAAAGTTTGAGGGACATGTTTGAATAGTTGTGTGGAAGTGGTGAGTGATGTTGTGTGGTAATGAAATTTATAGTGAAGTGAGGAAGAAAGAAGGGAAAAAAAGGAGGTTTGAAATTGGTTGATGTTAGGGGTGGCAGTTCGGTTATTTCGGTTATAATCGGTAATTGATCGGCTGGTTATTGGTTAACCAAAATAACCACATTCTCTATCGAAAACCGACCGAAATAGGCTTTGGTTTCTCGGTTATTGGTTAACCGAACCATTTTTAAGATAAAAAACCATTTTGTCCAGCCTCCGGCAACTGACCGAAGTTCGGTTACCAGTTAGTGGATAATCGACCGTTTATCGGTTTAACCGGTAACCGGTAACCGAACGGCCACCCCTAGTTGATGTGGGTAGATGTACCATTGAGGCTAATTAGTTTTAACCGGGATTTGTCAAATCGTATCGTATTGGTGGGTTCGCGATCGGGATTTCCCCCCCCCCCTTCTATGGGAGTCTAAACAAATAGGCGCGGTTTCTAGCGGTATAAGAAAAGATCGAACCACGATTTCAACATAAAATATTCTATCATCGACTTTTCCGATACAACTTACAGTACGATTTATGTTCTCTTAAAAACGGGATGTATCGAATTATCAAGGTACAATTTGTAATTGTACTATACAAATTCAATTGTAAAAAAGATATTATGACAAGCTGAATTAGTACCTTTTATGTTAGGGTAAATACAATTTAATATCCAAACCTTTTATTTTAAACAATATAATAACCAAACCTTTTCGAAAACAATCTAATATCCAAATCGTCAACTTTCCGTTCGTTTGACCATTAGTTAACACTTCAAAAAAGCTTTGTTTAGGGGAAATTGTCACAATACAACTTTGTTTCTAGTTTTGGCATTGCAGATGACTGAATATTTAGATATTCTATATCATCATGGTGGAGTCATGGACTTCTCGGGCTTGGAACTACGATATGTTGGTGGTTTTTCAGAGAAGATATCGATGGATATTGATGAAGTGTCGTACTTCGAACTTTTTTGAAGTGTCAACTAACGGTAAAACAGACAAAAAGTTGACGATTTGGATATTAGATTGTTTTCGAAAAGGTTTGGCTATTATATTGTTTAAAATAAAAGGTTTGGATATTAAATTGTATTTACCCTTTATGTTATAGTATAAACAGAACTTATACTCTAAAAAAAAGCTACAGATTCATTTTTATATTACACATTGAACTTCTACCTGTAACGTTTATAGTACAAGTTCAATTTGTACCTACAAATCCACCAATAATTTAGAGCATGATGGAAGGGCTATTTTACGTTCTATATTACAATATCAACATATTGTGAGGCAGCCATGGATGCATGCCACCTTTTTCTTGTGCTGTAACAGCATTTCCCCCAGCTTCCCAATTAACTATAAACCAGTAATTACCCACCACTGCAAAGTGGATGACATACCAACCAACATCATATTATAATTACCTCTTGTGCAAAAAATCTTGCTCTTTTTTCTCATATTTTATAAAAAGAAAATCAATTTATGTCAATAACTCTATAAATAATTATTCGGAGATAGTGCGACGCCGTCTTCTTGCTCCCCGGCCCGTCCAGCAGGATGGAGGCGTCGCTCTCCGGACCGGCGACTCCACGTCGGTCGTGTTGTTGTATTTGCCCTAGTAGAACCCGAACTGGGTCTGGGCCTGGTCTGCTGCCAGGCCCAATAACAGAAGAAGGCCCAGTATTACCAGGCCCGGTTATGCTAATTACCCGCAGATCCCGCCAAGGCTTTTCTCCTTCCTCGCTTCTTGGTTCCTAGCTTTTTCTTGGAATAACGTTAGAAACTTAGAATTGAGCTCGGAGTTTTCTGCAAGTGATGCGGAATTGGGCATGGAAAGGTGAATGGATAGATTGATTTTCAAAATAGTATTTTATTTTTTGATTGACACGTCAGCAAAGTTAATGGTCGAATATTATAGTTAATTGCTACCTAGGATGAAATGAATGGAGCTGGGCCTGGACGGCGAGCTACCATCAATGAAACAAAGTGTAAAATTGGTGACTAAAAATAAAGAAAAAAACTTTTGGGCGTCAGACGTGAATTTTTTTAATAAAATGAATGACCAAATGTGTTGGCCATTATTTATATGAACGAAGTATATAGCTATTTCGATTATATTAACCGTCCAATTTAATATATGTTGGATTTTCTTTTCAAGATTGTGTCTCTATCATTACCAAAACTTACTTGTTTGAAATCACTGCTAGGCATGATTGTCATTGTTGGTGGCATGCCGGGCCGTTCAAGCGGTGGTGGTTACAAAATCACCTGGAATGACCCCAATAAGATCGACATGATTGTTTTTTTTTATCTTTAAACGATATTCGGTGAAATGAATTAACAAAAGAAATTGACATTTTTTTTGAATTTTTGAAATTTAAATGTTGGTGTTATTTGTTGAATTCGAGTATGAATGTTTAGATTGATATGTTTTTTGTTGGATTCAAGTATAAACTTTTGGAAATTTGGGTTAAATGTTGTATTTAAATGTGAAAAAAATTCATTTTGTTTGAAATGTTGCATTTTATTTAAATATGGATATAGATTTTAGAAAGATCGTCTTCAAATACCATTTAGTGTTAATGATTTCACACTCTACTACATATTTTGTTAAAACTGACATGAACTAACGATAATTAATTGTACCAAAGATAAAACTGGAGACCATACCGCTTGCCAAATCGAAATAACAGCAAAAACTAGCTTAACAACCTTGCTCATGGATCATATATCTTTGCCATGTGATGGCCCTTGATTGGAGGGGGTGGGTCTCGTGAGAAGAAATGGACTGGCTGGCACTGCCAGCAGCACGACAAGGACCTGGGGAAAAAGCATCTTTCTTTCCATTCACCTAACTTTGTCTTCACTTTTCCATTGTTAAGAACCGAATTAAGGCTTCAGAGTTTCTAATTCTGGTAAGCAAATGAAAACAAAAACAAAAGCCCAAGCCAAATCCTAATCCTAATATTTTGATCAGAGAAAGCTGCACACCGCAAATCCCTTAGATACAGAGCTTTCCATAATCAAGCCAAATCAACATATATGATCTGGCTTTTCCATTTTTGCTTTTACAACTAAGCTCTGTACAAGCATTCAATTTGTAGAAACTATAGAACCATCATTTTGGGCTTAACTGGAATCTACAAGACCAAAATTAGAATGCACAAGCACAAGGCTCCAAGAAAGACTCCCTGTCGAATCGAAAACCCAGTGTCGAAGGTTCGTATATGATTCCAAACCTTCCATCGTCCAGTCTCTCTCACCGGTCCCCGCCCCACCATTCTTGCAGCATATTTCCATAGTGAGTGAGTTCCAGAGGAAGAAACCACTCCCAGATATAGAGCCTGGCATTTCTCCGATGTAAACAAACAGAATCCTCGGCACCCAAAAAGAAAAGATGATTGGGTTTTCGTTGAAACCTTCGTTTCCTCTGTTGCTGCTACTTTCTGTACTCTTTCTTCATCATCATCGCCACATTCTGGCGGCTCCAAGTTCCCAGCACCATCCCGCTGCTGAAGGTAAACTCATAAATCCCGAATCTTTTTCCTACCCCGATGGTTCTTGGACCAATCTCGCTCCTTTGGTTCAATACCCATTACGCTATTGATCCTAAAAACAACAAATTCGCACCTCTCCCGACTCCCGTTCAGTTTCCTCAGTCACGAAATTCCACAAACACCTTGTGTGCACAGCAACCTTTCGGGTGATTCCGCTGGCAATTGACCTATTGGTTACAGCAATTGCTAAATTTCTCTGTTTTGTTTGCAGAGAAGTCGCCCTTGTGGTCGTGGATCAAGGCTGGACCAGTACTGTCGTCCGTCAACAGGAAAGCCGGAGGTGGAAGGGGAGCCGGAGGGGGAAAAGGGGGGAAAGGCGGTGGAGGGAGAGTTCCACTATATGCAGCTGGAGGGGCGGCTGGAGCTGCCGCAGCTGCTACCGGGATTGCTGCAACTGGATCTCACCACCGCAATGGCGCAGCCTCGAAAGGTGGGAAGCCCGGCCGCACTCTGCCACTTGCAGTCCTGTTGGCGGTTGCTCTGTTCTTTAAGCATTTTGCATAGAGATGATAGATGTGGGGTTGTGTTAGGAGTAACGTTGCTACGAGATGTAATCGTGAATTTGTGAATGTAGGTAGGAAGCTTTGGGTTTCTTATCTATGGATGCTTATTGTGATTCATCAACTGTAGAGGAATTATGTTTTGAGGCTGGTTAATCGAATTGGTATTATATGATCGATTTGGAAGTGGAAAGAGATAGGAGTGGTAGAATTCTGATTCCATTCCATAGTCTTTGCATTCAAAGTTCAACCCTATAATCACTAGACCAAATTATGATTTTTTGGTTCGAAATTCGGGGTCATAACTCATAATCATCACACGTACAATCTCGCTTCCGAGAACCGAAAAAATATAATGACTATAGTATAGTCACAACATAGCTATTTAGTCTTTAGTATTACACCCTCACAACAACTTGTTTAGTGAGATCTTATTTTCCTCTCAAGGGCATCAACTCTAGTGATGGCAATGAGCGTGGACGGGCCGGAGCGAGTATCTCAATACATATACTCGTCTACTCGTCTGGCATCAAACACGGGCCAGGTCGACAATATCCGTGCGGGTATGTATTGAGACATATTTACTTTTTTTTCTTATATATTATTTATATAAAATATTCATTATTTAACAATAAAACAAATAGAAAATAGTTCATAAATGAAAATAGAGATGATAACTAAATTAATTGAGTTTAATTAGTTGAAAGATGAAATCTTGAAATTATCTTAAATATTATTGAGAGAAAATATGAGTTAAGGGATATGAAAATATGAGAAATAAAAACAAATATGGAGACAAGAAGGTAGAGAGATGGAAGTAGGAATGTAGGATACATGCTTGCTCCCCACACCACTCCAGATTAGATATTAGTATTACCCGTTCCGATACAAGTCAAGTTGGATAATATCAGCAAAGCTTGTTCAAATTGCCATAAGTTATTGGCTCTATCTACGATGGCAACACCATTAACGCCAAAATCTTAACTTAATAAAATACCTCATCAAATCTTCTAGCTTTCCTTTCCTTTCCTTTTCCCCCCATTCTAGCTTAGAGTCATCAATGCCTTAAATTGAGACGGTTTGTGCATCACTGCCATTCATAGTTGTTGACCCTCAACTCCGAGAGAAGGACAACTCCTGATTAGCTCGAACGCCAGCCATAAACTCAAGCACAAATCTGGACATAGCCCTCTTTCAACCATTCTACTACCAGTCGCACGGAAGTTAAAAGCAAGCACCAAATATAGACATGGAACAGCCTTTAGCTGTCCCGTGTGGTTCGACGAAATTTCGTACCGCAGTAGGCTGGCCATAGGCTTCCCCATTCAGTCAGCTAGCTTTAACCATGGCTTCTGCAGGTCTTCAACTGCTTCGCAATCCCTTTTTCCCTCTTCTGGTATGGTAGTAAATAATGTCACCAGCTTCCGAGTGCTTGCTAGCGACCAACCAAGCTTCTTTTACAGTTTTACCCCGTCTCTCACCCCGCCAAACAACCATATATACAGAGCACTGTGTTCAGCTCGGGAAGTAAATAGCATTTACTGTAGTCCACCGGCCGGAAGGTGTATCATGGGATCACGAAGATCATCTGGGTTTCGTCCGTTGCTGCTGCTTCTGGTCGTGATTTCACTGTGCATTCATCTCTCCCGCGACCCTGTTCTTGCTGCTGCTGATCAGACTCCGTGTTCTCGTGATCACAATGTGCTTGCCCCTGAAGGTACGTATTTGCTTAATTTTCCCCTGCTTTCTCCGTTTTTTTCTCTGAGCTAGGAATTTCTTCAAACACCTTGTGGGCACTCGTATTCTATTGATCCCTGCAGGAGAGTTGTGCTTATGCGAGTCGATCAAACGCCGGGAGCTGTCCTCCGTAAGCATGAAACGCGGCGGCGGCGGGCGCGGAGGAGGTGGCGGCGGAAGAGGCTTTGGGTTCCATTTTGGGCGGCACAGGCATAGCGGTGGAGCTGAGCTGACTGGTGCGAGCCTAATGGGACATCTGGCCCTCGCAGTAATCCTGGCTGCTGCTTTACTTGTCTGCTAATTTTAGCTTTAAGTTCAGTTTGACTCGTTACCGCTAAGACTAAATCAATGTACTCACAAAGATAAAAAGTGGTGTTTCAACGCGAACATATCTCAATTATCAGATCGACGATTAATCTGAAAAGATAATACGTAGTATCATTGACGGTGTACATAATCATTCAACTTCGATTCGAACTTCGTAGATAATAAATTAGACACCACAATCAAGTAGGTAAGATGTCTCATTTTCTGTAACCATATATTTCATTTATATATTCCATCCTAATCAAATAATCAATGACTAATTGCAATCAAAATGGAAGTTAGTGGGTCAACTTATGATAAAGAAAGACTGTTGAATGACATTATTCTGCAATATCTGTTGTAGCACACACTTTCCTGCTACTTTACGAGTGTTGCACCTCGTCGTGGAACAAGTTGCTCTTTTCTTAACTAGGAATTGCGCCCCAAAAGGCAAATCCACTATAGCTGTTGATTAACGATAAACCGAATAACTTTTCGGCATTTCGCTGTGGCCCTCGAAGGTTCCTTGACAGACCGTAGCTTCCCCCATTCGTCGGTTTAGCAGGTCTTCAACGGCAAGCGCCACTGCAATCCGCTTTATCCCTTACTCCGTCTGGCAAACGTCTTTAATTGCCCCGTTCTTCCCTCTCCACCAACTACCATATTCCGGCGCAGAAGTTTTATCCAAACCAGAATGATGGGTTTCTCACTGGAGTCCAGGCTTGTTCTCTTGCTGCTGCTTCATGCGGTGCTCTGTCTCCATCGCCACAATCCTGTCGCCGCATCTGCTCTTGCTGCTCCAAGCTTCATCCCGGAGAGCGATCCCGCCCCTGAAGGTAAAATTTTGCCCAAGTTATGATCTTTTCCTCCTTCCCGATGGTTTCTTGGCTCGATTTCGCATTTCTATTGGGACCCATCAAGCCGCTAATGCCAGATAGTTCAGTTTCCTCAGCTACGAATTTTCACAAACACCTTGTGTGCGTGCCCGTGCCGATGCAGTTGACATTTGGGAATCTGTTCTTTTCTTTACAGGGAAGTTACCCTTGTCGATGGCGATCAAGACTGGAGCGGTATCCTCTGTAAACAGGCGTGGCGGTGGAGGTCATGGCGGAGGAGGCCGCGGTGGGAGTGGGCGAGGCCGCGGCGGCGAGGAAGGAGGAGGACGAAGAGGTGGGGCCGGGACCATGATTCCACTATACGCAGGGGGAGCGGCTGGCGCCGGAGCTCGTAGCCACGACAATGGCGTGGCCCTGAATCGCGGGAAGCCCAATCCAATACACAATCTGGGTCTTGCTGTGATGTTGGCTCTTCCCTTGCTGTTCAATAACTTTGCATAGATGATGCAACTGTGCAGTAGCTTTTCGTAGTGAGGACTTTGTGAATTTTGTGACCAGTTGATACTTGTAATTCCATAGTACATGAAGAAGAGGACACACTATTTTGAGGTCAATAAACCCAATAGGCCTATGACATGATGGACTAAGGGTTCGTTTGGAAGTTGCGATAGTTTTGTTGAGATTGTCATTATGCATGTATTGTTTACAATGCATCGTTTTTTTATTTTTTTAGCAGAAACAATACATGGATTGTTTCTGTGATATGACAGAAATTATCACTTATTTTGAGTGATTGTTATATCACAACTTTTAGTTGTGATTGTTGAGATAGTTGAGTTGAGATTGTTTTGTCTCAACTTTTAGCTGATGCGACATACACAATCACACATACCAAACGTTGTATTCTACAATGCATCAAATTCGACAATACATGTATAATATTATACATGCATTCTCAATAATACATCTATTTAACAATCGCAACTTCCAAACGACCCCTAACATGTCAGTTGATGGTTATATTGTTAGCAAATGACTGGTGGGATGGGTATTCAATCCAATTCAATTTGATTAGTATATGTCAAGAACAGATTTGGATAATTAACCATGCAAGAAAGTAATGATATAGATTAACGTGGTTCACTAAAATAATGTTTGTCAGTTAGTCCCCGAACATGAGAGAGTTAGTTACACTATACTTTACGAGATGATAGATTACTGAGGAATTGAAAAATACGTATAGTACTTCTTCACGTGCTGTAACCCTAATCCAATCCGGTAAAAATTGAGGTGACATATTAGGCCCATAACAAAAACTCAAACGTGTATAAGCTTATTCACACCTGAACTTCATGACTTTCAATCGACGTCGAATCATCTAATTCAAATCATATCAACAATCTAAAGAAATCTGACAAAATAACCTAGAGTTTGTTTAAGATAAGCTATTTTTTCTTATCCGAATACTCAGATATTGAATGAATGTTGCACTGGGAGAGATAATGAAATTTTTAGTATCTAATTAGTACTTGATTATTGAAAGAACATATCTATAAGATATATGATGGAGATTCATGACTCAACTTTCTTCCATTTCAAATTTTCTGCAACGAGAGTGAAAGTAGGAAGGGTACTTTCGTCATTGCAATTGTTTATTTTTTTATTTGAAAAAAATATCAGTGTCAAGATTTGAACCCGGGTCTCTTCTAACAAGGACAAGAGTCATAACCAATAAGACTAAACAAATTTGTTGCATTTATTTATAAAAAAAACATACAAGAGGCAAAATTCTGAAAATCAAATGACTTTTCCAGCACAGTTAGCTACCCCACTAAGTCTTTCTTAAGCATTTTTAGTGTTGGATCTTTGATTATCATTTATTATTATTTTATTTTGACTTCAATAATAATGGTAGTCTATCTTATAAATGGAGGATAATCTTAAAACCGCAATCCAAATATCATTTATTCGAATATTGCATATCAAATTACAATATTAAATATATATGTGCACACACAACCACATATATATGGGTCAGACTGGTGTACTCCTGGAGTATATTATACTTCAGGTACTCTTCGTGAGATATCTCTATCTAGACCATGATTTTTAACCGAGTTTGGGGTATGATACTCTACCCTAACCTCTAATGGATAAACCCCAGGCCCCGATTCTCTAAACTCAAACCCAAAGTTTAATTTAATGGAAAATTATAATTGACCATTGAGATTGATTGGAGCTCAACAAAGTACATCTAATGTCTAGATCATGTGGAGTATACTATACTCTTGGAGTATACCAGTATACTATACTCCTGTAGTATACCAGTATGTGTGTGTGTAGTGTTTTCTATCATATTTTGAGTAAAATCAAAAGGTAACTCATACCCTTGGTAAGAAATGGCAATCTAGACTTCGAATTAACCTGATTTCGAGACGAGACACTATATTCTAACCCTTGACGAGTGAACTCTAGGTCTTAACTATTTAAATCATAGATCCTAAACCAAGGATTATAAAACCTCATCAGAGGTTGTACCGAAAAAGTCGGCAGGAGGGTATTTTATGCGAAAACTGTGGTTAACCGTGATTCAGTCGTTTCACAACACTACATAGTGCCTACTGGTTTAGTCGAACCCCCGGTACGTTAAGGGTTTTCAATCCTTGCCCTAAACACTAAGATTATGCACATAATTTTTTTGATGTATTTTGATGAAACACGACCTTCGATTATTGTTTCTAATAAAATTGATCTTAGTAAATATGAAAATATTAGGATATACTAAGGGTCCTATTTTGTGGTATTTTTTTCTTCTGAAAAATTCACTTTTTTAGACTTTATAAATAAATGACTTGGAAGCCACATCGCAACCGAAACCTCTCTATCACAACTGTCAATATTAAAGGTCAACCCAAATTTCGGACCAAATTTGTTCATTTCTTTCAAAGTGCAAACAAACCTATCTTATTTGAAAATTCGAGCCAAAATTGTCTTTTACATCAAGTTCATGCCAAAATAAGGTATCATCCCTATGACATGGAAGCCACATCGCAATCGCAACCACCTGAGCATTGTATGTTGAATGGATGAAGAAATTTTTAACTTTTAATATTAACGAACAACATAAATTTCAGTCCAAATTTGTCCATTTCTTTCAAAATTTTGAAAACTGTCTTATTTGCAAGTTCATGTCAAGTTTGGCTTTTACGACAAACTTCAAGGTCAAAATAAGGTATATCCCTATTATTTATGGTCAACTTACCAATCAAAGTAGTCAGTGAAAGTATCAGCAACACTGACAAAGACAAACATATGTAATTCAAAATTAGTTGCACTCAGTCTTAAGTTTGAAGCTCTCTTGAGAACCCGGACTATTTTCTAGGCATCTTCGGGGACTACGACTAGCATGCTTCCAAACCAGCTGATCCTTATTCTACTTTCTATGAAGAGGAATAATATGGGTGTATCTGTTAGACATTAATTAGGGTTACAAATGATCTCATTCCTAAAATCTGTTAGAGACCAATCTTTTTCTTTCCTTCTGAGGGTTCATTATGTATGTTTTAGGAAAAACAACTCTAATCTTGAACTATTTGCCATTTTTAAGTATTGAAAACCTATTATTTTGTATGTTTTTCTTTTCTTCTTTGAACAATTATATTTCTTTTTTCAGTGATATGTCGTATCTTCCTATTATATTGTAAGCATGTTATATGAACATATTTTTTGTCTAGACTTTCCCGGCCAAGGGGCCGGGCCCGGTGCTAGTAATTGTTATATTATTATTTATTATAAAAAAAGCATATGTCCAAACTCCGAAGTCCATGTTTAGTTTTGTCCAAAACGATTCTTGACTTCTTGGGCGACTCACACAGACTGGCAGTCTGCTTTGGATTCAACGCACTAAAATCACGAAAATCTCCCTCTGAATCACCGCCACTCCCAAATCCCACGTACAACGCCAAGGCTAAATCCGTAATTCAACATTGCTCCGCCGAACAAAACCTACCCCCACGAATCTCCGATTACTTCACTGCCCCGCTAACCCGCTTCCTCTTTCCCCCAATTCGAATCAGCCACTCAAAGAACCCAAATTCCCCCCACCTTCCCCGGAAAACCGCCACCGCCGGCCTTCCTTCAAATGGGCACCCGAAAACGCCCCCAGTGGAGCTGGGCCTCATTCCTCGCCGGCGGAGCATCCGCCGCCGCAGCCGCCGCCCTCCTCCGGGCCAAGCCCCAGGACCCAACATTCCACCTGATCTCCATCAACCTCAGCTCCTTCAAGCTCAACTTCCCCGTCCTCGACGCCGATCTGACCCTCACCGTCCACGTGGCCAACCCCAACGTCGTCCCCGTCCACTACTCCGCCGCCACGCTGTCGATCTACTACGACGGGTCCCTCCTCGGGTCGGCCCGGGTCGAGGCCGGGTCGCAGCCGGCCCGGTCCTGCCGGCTGATCCGGCTCCCCGGCCGGCTCGACGGGCTGGAGCTGGCCCAACACGCGAAGCGGCTCCTCAACGACGTCGCTTCGAGGGAGATGGTGCTGGATGCCAGGGTGGACGTCGGTGGGACCGCCAAGGTGCTGTGGTGGTGGGACCACCGGTTTGCCGTCCACGTGGAGAGCAAGGTGACCGTCGATCCGCTGTTGCTGGACGTGGTCGATCAGGAGAACAAGTCCAAGATTGATCTTTTTACCTGCTTAGATAGTCGCTAGCTTTGTGTTGTTGGTTGGTTGGTAGTTGATACAATTGTAAAAGAAATCTCTCGTCACAAAAGATTGGAATTTGGAATTCTCATTTTGCAAGGAGGAAAAGATACGTAATCCAGCTTAAGAAGCATTTGGAGTTTTGATGTAATTGGCTATGTGGTTAACTCGGTAATGAACGGTTTGTGCCCAGCAACTATGCGTCCCGAACCTTCGCACGTCAGCCCTTCGATACGCCTTTCCCTGCACGCAACGGAATTAACTTGAGCTCAGGGTAGGGCTCGTTAGCACTCAACGCCCAAGTCAACAACCGTTTCTAGAGAGAGAAGTGAATAGTAATTCTAGAGAGAAGTTCTAACCTGAGTAAATGAGGTTTACCAACTCTCCTATTTATACCCCGGGCCTGGCCGACCAACATCCCCTTCTCCCGCCTGTCGCCAGGCCCGCATTAAATGTGTCGTACGATCAGGTCCCATGCGCCTCGACCATCTGACTCCCTACTCAGATGGTTGAGGCGCATGACGTCAGCTGGTCCCCCCTCCGTACCTTCTTATCCGCTGCGAACCCTTGTCGTATGTGCCCTGTGTCAGAGCCTTGGCCCCACCTAGTCTAGGAAGTTCCTCTTTGTTATGTGGGCCAATTTCCTTCATGCCCCCCCCCCCCGGGACCTACCGGGTTGGGCCCTACTTTTTGGCTTATCAATCCTTCCCCTTGGGCCAGGTAAGCCCAACCCTCTTGGGCCGTGGCTACGCCCCCAACATGAACCAATATTTCGAGTACGGTTTGTGATCGACTTTGTTATTATGTTGGTAAACCGTATGCTAGGTTATCTATTTCATGACTGAATTTTGAGAGTACGTTAGCAGCAATTCTGTGTTAGTTCGTAGTATTCAATGAAGGGATGTGTAATTCTGCAAATTAGTATCATAACATATGAATTTCTTCAATCATATTTAAGTTGTTTAACGAGAAAAAGGGCATATTGCAAGTTGCAACAATCTTTCATCTGATGGCATTCTTCATTAATTTAGGGTCGTTTGCTTCAAGGTTTTGTTGATGGATTTGGTGATGGACTTGCATTTATCATGGACTTTGACAAAAGTCTATTGTTTGCTTGATGGAATTGGAGGGAGTAAATCCGTGGGGCCCACAGAGTTTGGAGGTCCAAATTCGTGGACCCCACGGACTTGGAAGTTCAACTTATGGAGGTTGGAATTGGATGATGGATTTAAATCCATGATGGCATTTTACTAGTTTATTCCTACTTATTTTACCTAATGACTAATCTACCCTTTCTTCTTTCCCGGTGGTGGCCTCCAACTCTTTGTCCTCAGTTTTTCATATAGAGCAATGAATGATAAAGGGACTCTCATGTTTGTTTCTCCTTGTCTCTTTCTTTTTTTTGGGCTTGTTTAACATTAATTTCTCGCATAAATTGTGAATTTCGGGATGAAATTTTGGATTAAGCGTGGTGCTCGAGTTTGATCGAAAAATCGGGACATTTTCAATTGTGGTTGAATTTCAAATCTTCGTCTACTGAGTCTTCTATTTACTCCTCTACTGATATTTCTAACACTTTATGCTCATCTTGTGCATTATTGCTGGATCGACAGTTGGATCCAAAAATTAGGGAGTTGTGTCATGTTCAAACTATTATGCATTTCTATATTTGTAATTGAACTTTGTTCACAAAGTAGAAGTTCAGTTACTTTGTATGCATTAGATTTGTTTTTAAGAGAAATATAATTACATAAGGGTAATAATGTAATTTGTATTTCATATTCACAAATCTAATCAAATAAAATCCATTATCAAATTCAACAAGCAAACAATAAACTTGTTCAAATCCATGATGCCACCAAATCCATCATATATCCATGGTTTTTCAAAACCCAGGTTTTACCAAAGAGGCGTACTATTTGCCGCCCGTGTCTTTACTATTTGCCGCCCGTAAATTAAATTAAAATGACATTTTTACCCTTTGTCCATTTTTTATAACACAAACCCCATTCCACCACAATACCAGCGACCACCACTGCCGCCGACAATAGACCACCATCGACCCAAAACTCTTGCTGCCGCCGGCGCCACTCCACCGCCGGTGTCGCCACCACCGCCAGATCACCACCGCGGCCACCACCAAACCATCACAGCCAACAACGACGGCGGGCGAGCCCCGTCCGACGCCGGCGGTCGGACCCCGTCCGTCGCCGGTGCGCGGACCCCGTCCGATCTCGGCGGGCGGACCACCTTGCTCCCCGTAGCGGTTCTGCCGGCGATGAAATTAAGAATTAATTAATGCACAAAGAGATTAAATCCCAATCCTCTATTCTTCATTAACGAAAATTCAGAAACAGTATTGGGAAATTAGTTAGAGTATTAATCGGACATATATTATTTTTAAAGATGGAAATAGATACAAATTCCATAGAGAATTAATTAGAGGATTAATCACCCTTTAATATTGCGGAAATCACGCCCCATTTTAGTAAGATTTAAAGGTATACTAAATTATTAATTATTTTCAATTGTTAATTATGGATATAATCATTATCCTTTTTTTTAGGAAGTTTTGTTCGGCTCTTAATTAGGAAAATACAATTAGATATTGGTTAATTAGGGAAATACAATTAAAGATTTAATTAGAGAATGAATCCTCGGTTGTTAATTAGGAAAATGGATTTTCGGTTTTAGTTAAGGAAATAATCAATAATTTTGAAAAAGGAAATAATTTGTAATCACTCAAATATTAATACATAATTAATAATTGCTTAAAATTCTGCCGTAAGATGGATTAGGAGGGATTACTGGCATTATTATTTTATCAATCCTTCCAATTTCCACCTAAACATCTATATGGAATTAAGCTTTGTTTTCTTTATTAATTAATTACTTTCCTTTAGCTCATCCTACTAATTAACGAAATGGAATAAAACGTTGCTTTCCTTCTTCTTTTTTAATGTGTTTTAATTAAGGGAAATTTTTTATTATTAAGTGTTTCCGTTTTTAATTTTTTATTATTAATTAGAGAAAATTTTGGTATTTTATAATTAAGTGTTTCCGTTTTTAATTATGTAAATATAGTTACTGTTGGTAATGGGGTAGGAAACTAGGAATCAATAAAAGTCAATTAAATCACACCTCACACGCTTACTCCACATTTAATTTGATTTAGTAATCCGTTAATTCCTTCAATTATATAAATTTATTTTATTAGTTACATTGTTTCGACCCAAAAAATGGAAAACAATTACCATGTTTAGAACTTCCAAAATCAATGCCGACATAAATAACAATTATCACAAATCAAATCATCATTTAATATAATATTTAATTAATTTGTAAATAATTAAAAATGGGTTTTTTTAAGAAAAAAAATCGTCGACGGGAACCGTCCGATCTTCGGCGTCGGACCCCGTCCGATCGTCGGCGTCGGACCCCGTCCGATCGTCGGCGTCGGACCGTGCCTCACTATGCGTTCTCCTTCTTCGGAACCTGTCTCGCCGTCCGTTCGCCGGCTTTTGACTGAGTCCACCTTCTGATCGCCGGCATGATGACTTGATTGCGGTTGAGGCCTGCGGGGTGGGTGATGGCGGGATGGAAGAAGCGACGTGGGGAACAAATAAAAAGGAGGGTTTTGGTTTATGAGCTACGGGATTTGGGTTGAGGTCATGGGGGATTGGAGGAGTGGGTTTTGTGATCGGCGGTGGGGAGGGCTTTAAGTTGAGGACGGCGGGGATTGGTGGATGGGTTGTGATCGGAGGTGAGGGGAAGTTTGTGTTCGCCGGCGGGGAAGTTCTTTGGTGGGGAAGTAGTCGGGGTCGGAAGTTCTTTGGCGGGGAAGTGGTCGGGAGGGTTTTCTAAGGTAAGGGCAAAAGTGTCTTTTGCTTTAAAATTGTGGGCAGCAAATAACGATTTATCGGGCGGCAAATAGCGATTTATTTTATCAAAACCCTCATATTTACAATCCACGAAGCAAACGACCCGTAGGTGCTGAGATTGACCGTTTGAAGTCGCAACTCATAAAAGTCGCTCCAACGTCCAACCTCATCTCCATTAGCCGCCGCCTCGCTGCTTCTGTTCTGCGTAACTCGACGTAGGCGACAGAAAGAAGACACAGAGAAAAGGAGAGCGAGGGCCGCTGCGCATAATCAAAACCGTTGTACGATTTTTAGGGAAGCGATGGAGAAGGGAAAGAGCAGGGAAGTGACCGTCTCAGCTCTGCAGTTCGCCTGCACAGATGACGTCTCCACTAATGTCGCCACCGCTGAGAGGTCACGCCACCACAACTTATTCCCTTTTTATAATATCCCCCCACTGATTCCATGCAGTAGCTAATCGCTTAAGCTTTACTTGTGGAGATCCCAATTTTCGATTTTGCAACTTTTCCCATTACATTTCTTATTGTATTGAACGAACCCCAGATCCTAGATATGCGAGTTGGGCTTAGCTGAATTTGCTCTTGCCAACTGATCCCTTTCCGTCCCAGTTTCCTTTGTGATTCTCATTGCCTCCGGCTATGGATTTGTTTGCGCTGTGTTTTCACCATTTCAATAAGTGATTACTGCCTGGATTCTTCTTCTAGGCCATGCGGCTTGAACAAAGTTAGTGACTCTCACCATCTGGTTCTCACTTGATGAAATGGTATCGGTGCTGCTCATTTTGTACAGGTTGGTAAGAACGGCTCATTCAAAGGGTGCAAACATTATTCTTATTCAGGTCTGTTGTTGTGGCGCCTCTTTCCATACTACACCTAAAAGTTCCTTTTGATGCTTGGATCACTGGGCTTTAATTTCCCTGCTTCTTCAGGAAGGCTAATCATTAGTATTCCTTCAAAGGTTAATGATTTGATAGCCATGATAAAAGAGAGAGGAGTAGCTATGATGAAATTGATGGGGCCTCGGCAGAGAGACTTGTGATCTGGGTGGAATTCCTTATCACCTAACGTTACCTGGATAGTCTGAAACGAGTTAATAACAACCCATACTGAAAGATGAAACTGGTGTCTTTTCTATTCTTCAAGGCTTTAAGCTCTTCCATGCTTTTCAGGAATTGTTTGAGGGGTATTACTTCTGTCAAGCACAAAGTGAAGACCACTTCCAGCGAGCTAAGCCGTATAAAGATCACCCTACTATTCTGAGGTAGGAGACAAATCACTAGATCGTAGTTATGCTGGTTCATAATTTTGATTGATCATATTTTCTATCCGGATAAAGGGAGTACCATTGATCTTTTTGATGCAAAGTATTTAGCTGTAATTCTTTCTCTTTTGACCTCACTATACAGAATGCAAAAGCTTGCTAAAGAACTAGGGGTTGTAATACCGGTTAGCTTCTTTGAAGAGGCCAACAATGCCCATTACAATACCATAGCCATAATTGATGCTGACGGGACTGACCTTGGGATCTACAGAAAGTCTCACATTCCTGATGGACCAGGTTTGTTCACGTTGCTTGCTTTCCACTTTGATATTCTTCATATATGTTTGGTGCACAACTCACCACTGGTTACTACTGAATGCAGGTTACCAGGAGAAGTTTTACTTCAATCCAGGAGATACTGGCTTCAAGGTGAAATCTTTTAGCTGGATTTACTTGTTTTCCTCTTTATGACCATACATAGTTTGAAGCTGACCTTTGACTCGTTTTGGCGAACAGGTTTTCCAAACAAAGTTTGCAAAGATCGGAGTAGGTAAGCAACTTACTAGTTCCCGCTCACCAACCAGTGCTTGAAAGGAAAGATTCTTGCTTCTCGTATGGCACCCATGAAGATGTAGCAGCATCATTCACTTATACAGTGTTAAAATATATTTGCCTCCCTCAAGAACTGAACTATGCAATCTTTTGTCCCTTTTATTTCTGTCCTTCAACTGAATCATTGGTGAAGACAACTGAAGGAGGTTGGTCCTCCATTTGTATGTGATATTGCTAGCTATATGTTGGGATCAATGGTTTCCCGAGGCAGCCCGGGCTATGGCTCTACAAGGTGCCGAGATACTGTTCTACCCCACTGCAATTGGTTCTGAACCTCAAGATGATGGGCTTGATTCTCGTGATCACTGGAAGAGAGTGATGCAAGGCCATGCTGGAGCCAATTTGGTAACTCAATACATTCATTTGGATACTGCAATTACTTTGAAGTGAATCTTTTTAAGGAGACCTTTCCTTCATTATCTTTTCAAGATAGGATTAACTCATTTCAGACATGAACCCATGAGTAACTGTTGGCTTACGATTTCTGTTATTCGTGATTCGCAGCAAGTTCTTACATACAATCATTGTTGTTGTTATGGCTTTCCATGATCTGTGTCTGTAAGTAACTTCTAGATTTGACAAACTCAGGTACCTTTAGTAGCATCAAACCGCATTGGAAAGGAAATAATAGAGACTGAGCATGGGAAAAGTGAGATTACATTTTACGGGAACTCATTCATAGCAGGTACTTTTTCTCTATTCACTACTTCCTAAGTGTGGTGAAAGGAAACTGCAAATAGATAATGACTAACCATTGATTGATGGACAGGACCGACCGGAGAAATAGTTGAAGCTGCCAACGACAAAGATGAAGCTGTTCTTGTGGCAAAGTTTGATCTCGATAAAATCAAGTCCAAGAGACATAGTTGGGGAGTATTCCGTGATCGGCGTCCAGATCTATACAAGGTGCTTCTGACTTTAGATGGCAGTAACCCATCTCTGTAATTTGGTGATGCTTCATTATGAATTTATCCTAACTATTTATTTCAGAGGTTATCTCTTACAGTTAAAAGTGTGTATTTCTAACATGAATTGGAGCTTCTGCTCAATATATAAAATGAATTGGGCTGGTTGCATATGAGCCCCAAATCTATTCTATGGTTTGCTGTAGACCATCTATAATAAATAAATAAAATTCCTAGTTCCATTGATATCTACATGATTTCACTGTTTCAGAAGCTAGGAACATAAGTTTCTTGTGTTATGTTTTTTGGTCCACAACCACCCGGTAGGTTAGCCCTTGCTGGGAGATTACTCTGTCCACTGTATTATGTATTAGCCTAAAGCCAAAGTGAAGCAAAATCGGTCAGGTAATATTTTCTTCTTATCCACTCCATTCATCTCTTTTACTTGGTTCTCCTCAGTGGCGAGCAAATTTCCTATGGTGGTAGCTTTTAAGGTGATAGCTACAATTGGTTTAGATGTGGGATCAATGTCTTGCCATGTGTCTGGTTATAAGTTAGATGGATACTTTAGCTCCTCTGGGAATATCTTCAGTTTCCAGAAACTGTCTTTTCTCTTTCAAATGTCGCAGCACATAACTTTTTTCTCTGACAGGAATTGATGTTTATGGGGCCAAAATGTTTTATCACCAGAGATATGGCATCTTCCATATTTGCTTTCTCCAATCGTCTTAGCTGCATGGCAATCATTGTCATAATCATTTGATTAGCTTTTAGATCATTGAATTAGAGAAAGCCAAGTCTCATTCTGACTTAGCACAGTGCTGCTTCTATGAGCCTCACTAGGCCTTTTCCTAAAGTATTGACCTCAGAGTTGCAATTTTTCCTTCTCCCAGCTTAATGTTAGGTGATGAATACTAGTGAAACCTGACCACAATTCTACTCTCAAATTGACAACTATACATACTAGTTGGTAGCATCACACGTTTTGAAGCAATATGAGGTGTCTTGCTTACACGTGCAGTTCTCTGGTTGGCAAAACACGTGTTTGATCATATACTACTAGTCTTGCCTTGGTTGCCTTTGTTTGTTCCAAAAGATCGGCTGATATTTTCTGGGCTACTTTTTGCATCATTTAATGGCTAATTTATCAGTTTTGACTCTGGTGACAAATTTTGAAGTATGATTTTCGTTAGTACCTAAGGTACTCTGTGCCAAAGAACTGCAGTAAAATGACATTTAGGGTTCATGTTTTAGTAGGGATTGAGACGTGGTGAAGTCTGGACCATGAACTTGTTGCCCACTTCTTTTTTAGGCGATTGATATGGAAGCAGATGTTGATACTTCACTTCTTCCATTTAAGGTGACTTGTCTTGTTTTGACATGTTTTTTTACCTCTTCCGTCGATTGTACTGCCATGTACTGTAGATTTTGGACTCCCTGGAGGTCATATCGAAGTTTCCTGATGCTACATAGGCACAGTACACTTGCATGCTTGTTCTTTACACATTTTCTTTGAGTGCATGAAGTAACATAGGATCTAGGTAGGTGAAAGGGGCAAAAAGAAAAATGAGAATGGAAGGGAACATTTAGCCTAAACAATAAACATTGGAGCTGCTTTTTTCTGTGTCTAGCCATGTTGAATTGGCAAGTAAACACAGGATCCCTGTTGACTTTTTCCAGCAGGGCAACAAGCCAAGAAGGTTGATTTCCCAACCTGAAGCAGGCTGCTTTCTTTTCTTTGTATATGCCCTTCATCCATCATTGCTTGGCATTGTTAACATTCATGCATTCATCATCATCGTTCTCATCTCCACCATCATGCTGCATAAAGCTCTCATCTTCCTCCTCCTCGTCTTCCACTTCTTCAATGATTTCATTGTCAGGCTGGACAAATTGCAGCTTTAACCTCCCATCTTCTCTGCAAGCATGTAGAAGCTCCTGAGTAGGGATCCTTACTTCTTTCAGAACAAACCTGCCATCCTCCCTGTAAGACTTGAAGCAAACCCAAGGCTTGCCGGTCTTTCCTATGCAGGAAATGGGTGGAGGGAAAGAAACCCCTCTATCACCAAAAGACCTCGACGATCTCCTGTCTTCCCCACCTCTACTTTGATTCTCCAATTCTGAAGAATGCTTTGCTATGATGGCTCTTGTTGTTGGTGGTGTTGTTGTTCTCTTCTCAATCGCTTCTTCTTTTTCTTGATGTTGCCATCCTGTCTTCGACGATATATCATTGTTGTTCAGGTCCTCAAGATCAGCAGAGCTCTCAGAACCGAGCCCTTCCGTGCACAGCTGCAAGCTGCTGCCGAGCTTCGAACCTGATAGAGGGTATGGATTCTTCAGGTTGCCTGAGAAAGAGGTGTCCTTGAAATGAAGCTCACCGAATAGCTCGGTGAAGGAGGAATGGTCAATTGGAGGTTTGACCACAGGCTTGAGTTGGTTCCAGGAAGAAGAAAGGGAATCAAGGATAGATGATGATGATGGAGTCTTTTCAGGCAATGGTTTGTCAAAGATGTGTTGGAGACTCCCACAGGCAGCCATGGGTTTGTTTTGGGGGGGAGTTATAGCTGCTGAATCTGTGGTTCTTGGTAATGGAAATGGATGAAAGTTTCTATCTTTCTGCCAGGCTAATGTTAGTGCTCTTGGGAAGGGTGAGTGGCTTTACAGAAGGAGAGAAATGAGGGGTGACACGTGAAGTAGGTGTGAAGAGCAAAGTTTGGACAAAATCAAAAGGATGATGCTGTTGTTAACTAGGGAAGGAAGAATGGGGGGGAGGATATATAAGAGCAGAAGGACCTTCTTTCTGTTGGGGATTTTTATTTTTGGGATTAAAGCAACTAGTTGAGATAGTAGCATTAGAGTTTTTCATGCAGCCTTAATATAATTGCTTCTAATTTTCGTGACTAGGGTTGATTTTTGGAGGTGGGCATTAGGTTTGGGGGATTTTTAGAGGTAGTCACAAATGTATGATAGTTATCCAACATGGTAACATTGGTTTTGGCATTTGTACAGAATAATGGTTGGATAAATTTTATTCTTCCTAAAATAATAATATGCCTTTGAAACTTTGCAATTAAATGGTCACTTTTGTCCATCTCCATTTAAAATGTTAGACTCGTTAAATTAATAGAAAAAAACACACAAAATCCCATCTTAGTACCCAAGTTGTATTATCATAATCATAGGCCATCCATATCGTCGTTGAAAAGAGCATCCAATAAGCAATTTGGTGTGGTTGCTTGTTGGATTGGTATATACGACTCTAAAGTCTGATGGATTGGTTCGGATGAATAGATGAATTTTGGTATTCGCTTATTAAGTGAACGCAATTTTGGGATAGTGGTGGTCGAAAGTAACCATTTCGTTACAAATTTTGAAACTTAGATCATATTTTTTAGCGAAAAAAAAAAGAGTTAAAGTGACCATTTTGTACAATAATAACCCCACAAGTGTGCTAAAGAAACTCTCTCCTTCCTTTCTTCCTTTGCCTCTTTTTATCTTTCGGAAATGGAAGGATTTGATTTGTTGGGTAGGGATGGAGATTGTAGATTTTCCAAGGCCTTCAAAAATATCAGCAACATCCACAATATTTGCACCCACTTTTCTTCACTAGCTTTACCAGCTTATCTCATGCCCTTTCTCATCCTTCTGTAAATTTTCAACTCAACATTGTGCATGGGAGTGGCTAAGGATTGATTACCTTTGTTCCAAGTGGAAGTAAATATGAATCTTTCCCAGTGGAGGAATCATATTAGGAAACTAGAAACAATAAGTTGGGTGTTATGTAACGGTATATATGGAATCATACTGCTGTATAACTGATTGTATCAAGTAAAACTCCAGTTATCAGGTCGGTATGGTAGTATGACGGTTCTATTAGAGTTTCATTAATATTGAATGTTTAGCATACTTTAAATAGTAAATATCATCAATCTGATCTCCAATATATGGTGTCTCGGTGTTGATATTATATATCGTTCGACCACTTCAACAATTAAAGTGATCCGCAACTCATCGATCGATCACTTCTGCAGTCAGGTTAACGACAATGATGAAGTCGCCAAATTTCTCATTCAATCTCCAACTCTTAACCTTCTATACCTACCGATAATACTTGACGATTGTTGGGATGGGAATGTGACGATTGTTTTGAGTACCATCTGATCTGCAAATCAATGGGATTCCCCAATACCTATATTCACGTTATCTGAAAACTGCATGAAATGAAGTGAAATCGTCGTCACCCACAAATTCAAAGTCGACCTTGCTGGTTTTGTTCCCACTAAGGTGCCCATCAGATCTTGGAATATTCTCCCTTCCAAGTACACCCTCATCAGTTGTCCACTCCTTTTTCCCCCCCATTCTTCCACCATTGTTCTTCCCCAAGGAAATTGACAGAAAGCTTGTCAATGGCCAATAGGGGGTAAAAAGAATCCAAGTATCCAACCAAACAATCCCCAGAAGATAATGAAAGCAACTATTAGGGAAGCACCAGCCTCCTATAGTCACTAGTGCTTTCTGTAACCAAAGTACCATTGTCGCATGATAGCTCTGTACCACTACATTTCCCCCCCATCTGCACTCTGGTTTCTTGTGTCTCACTCACCATCACCATCTAACACAATATGCATGGTCTGCAAACCAAAGCTTCAATCTTTATCAACATGATTGTGACATTAATCATAGCACACAAGAGTAAGATCGAGAGCATCGATACTGCGATCGATGGAAAATCACACCGTGTTAGAGAGGGTGTATTACGAATGGCACACACTAGAGGGGAGAAGAAGAAGCTGTTAGATTTCCCCCACACACACTATGCATATATGCATGAAACTTAGGAAGCAAGCAAACCACCCAACATTACATAGAAACAAAACAGAGAATATGTGTTCCCAGAAGAAACATAGTGCCACCAAGATGATGATGGTGGCCTACTGGCCGGCCTGAAGAATGACTGTCTCCCAGTCTCGGTCCTCTCTCGAATTGCATTTATCGCCAGGCCTCAATGCGTTCTGTCCTCGAGTCTATACGGCTCAAATTGCTCATCTCCCGCGTCTTCTCAACCAATGAGGCTAAATGAAGAACGGAGTCGTGTGGCGGTGTCAGATGAAGCACTGCTTGTTGCTGCTCCCTAGTCATTTTGCCAGATCTCTTTCTGGGGTCCGAGTTGCTTGACTGGCCAACAATTCTAGATCTTCGACCACTTTCTTCCTGGTCAGCTTCAGTCTCGACGATGGGAGTTTCGTCGGCCACATTAGGAAGACCCTCACTCGACTGCTGACCATGATTAATTAAACCGCAGTCTTCTTCGTCATGTTTAACACCGGTATCTTCTTGAGTCCAGTGGCTAGAGCCTTGTTCCATGACAGGTGCATCATCCTCACTCAAGCTTTGGGTTGTTTCATTGTCTTGGCCAGTGTGTAAACAGAAGGGCTGGGAGGGGCTTTGGTGACCACTCCCATCGAATGGGCCGAGCAGTGAAGCCGAAGTGGGTTCCACCACAGAATCTTGCCTCTCTCGCAGTGTTCTTATGATGAGTGTCTTTAGAAAGTTCATCACCTGGACTGCATACATTAGTGCTGTCAAAGGATCCGCCATCTGCAATAGATAGAACGTAGGATTGTTAAAACTGCGGTGATGCAGTTATCTCGCCAACCCACGATTAATACTCCATATTTTATCTCAGACAACATAATAATCCACCATTCACCAACCTACATTAGCCATTAATAGACGTGGCTTACACCATAAATCACGCAAAGCCTAATTCTTGGGGCTTTTGTGTGAACATTTGATTCTCTAGATTGCATCAGGATTATCATTTTCTGCTATTATATGTATTTTTCCCTTGATACAATTTTAAGGGACTTTTTGCGTCTCCAAAATGTAAAAATATGCTGGCATTAATAGGGCATATATCCCATTGACCAATTTGTGTCATAAAAAAAGAGAGCCATACACACCTGAGTCATGTTTGGTGCAAACACCATGGCTATGTTGCGTGCATTCATCTTGTTGTGATGTTCTTGTTCAACAACGTCTGCCATCAAGTTGACGGCCCAATCCAAGAGAGCTGATTCAGTTGGAGGCAGATGCCTCACAAGCTCAGCACACTCTTCTTCGGTTTGGGATTGAATAACTTGTTCGGGTTGCAAAGAGTCCAGAACCCCAGTTGGAAGTTCTCTAAACCAAGCCTGGAGAAAGCAATAATCATTACCCAGAGTTTAGATTAACCGAAGTCTTGTTGCAAAATGAAGCGGTAAGATCTATCTGAAACATTAGCTGAATCACACCGGTAAAATGTTTCTTTTGCAATGTCATTTGTTTCCTTCTGTTTGGACACTTTCCAGAACAAGATTCAAGAACCACGCTACTCGTGAGTCACAAGTTATACAACTCTTCATTTTAATTTCACCTTTCAGAGACTTAATTGAATTTCCGTTACCTTGATAAGTCCAGCCAAACAGTGCACATCAACACCTTCAGGTACAACTCCACCATTTAGCTGATCCCTAACGTACTCTTCTTGGCTGTTTTCCGCATTAATTCTGAAAATTCCTTCAGCCTGGAAAAAGGCAGATTGAGAAATTACAGCCAAACGTTATGGAGTAATGGTTAAATGGTCCAAACAAGTAAGCATTTCCCAGCTAAGAGGCTTTGCCCATTTGTTTCATGTTCCTTTTTCCTTAGAGAGGAGCAAGATGAACCAAGCAAAGAAATTAGCAATGCAAATTATGCAATGTGTACCTGCAAACCGCCCAGGCCATACAGGTGCCGTTGCATTAACAAGAGTATAGTTGGCACGCTATTCCCTCTAGAGTCATATGACAATTGCATCGATTCTGTGGAAACTCCAAAGACAGTAGCACTGCATAAATCATAATCAAATGGTGAAGAGCGGCAGAGAATTAGCAAAGGCACATACTATAAAAGGTTGAAACTTCATCAATAGCTGAGTGTAATCTGAAAGATCAGGTTGCAAGTTGGCATATAAAGCACAAACAAGGAAATGTGTAAAAGAGAGAGATAATTTTTCCCTGACTGTGGAGCAAGAAATCTAAATCTCAGCTTAACAACCAAATACATCAACCGTGGCATTTAAGACCATTATTAGGGAATCTTTCTGTATCACAAATTCACAACCTAGTTCAACCTAATTTCATTACATTCATAACTTCCAGTTCTGGGTAGACAAGGCTTGGTTCCAAGGAGTGATAGCATTTCCAAAGGATCTATGAAACATAAACAAGAGATGCTCAAGCAAAACCCGGAACAATTATAAATTATCTTTCGAGAAGATCAGCTCACATTCAGTGTCAATTTGATTAATCAATTCCCAAACTGTGACTAACATCTAAATCCATGAATACTTCCCACATTCATTGCAATCATTCATAACATGCTCCCATCTTTAGCAGGTCACATATGCAACAAACAAAGACTCTCAATGAAATAGCAATAGAAAATCTAGAAATCCCTCCACTGAAATCACACCAGAGAAGAATCCCCCAACAATATGTCAGAGGAGAATTACCAAATCTGTAACCAGCACCAAGTTCATCTTCAATTGACAAACACACATGAAATTCCTTCGACACCTAACAAAACCAGCTTGTGCTAAAAACAGAACGATCCACGCTACCAAATCTCAAATCCACAAAAACAGAAGGAAGCAATGTACCTAGCACTGGGAGCTCTTCTGGGCACTTCAGGTTCGAACTCAACAGGCAAACCCAAGAACCCATTAAACCTATCAAAGGTAACATGAGCCACATGGCGCACATTACTAGGCCAACTGATCTCCATCGCACAAAGCTCCCTCCTTTCGCTCTTACAAGCCACCACAGACTTCCTGAACAGAGTCACCAGCAGAGCCAACAGCGAGAGCTGATCCCTTCGCCTCTTCTCGCTCTCCTTCAGCAAATCACACTCGTCCACAACCCGCTCCACATTATTCCCAAGAGAAGAAGAAGAAAGGGGAGAAGAAGGATTAGAAGTAGTGGTGGTTGGGGAGGAAGGGGGGAAATGGGAAGGAGATTGGTGAAGGACCTGGACTTGGGTCATTGCTGGCAAACGAAAAGGGCGTGGCTTTACCCTCCTTTTCTAATGATTTTTGTTTTTTTCCCACCCAATTGGGTTGTGAATTAAAAAAGAAGAAAAGATTGGAGCTTTTGGTTTTAGATGGGAAGATTTTGGGGGGGAGATGGAGTTGGATTGAAGGAATCGGAACAATGGTGGGAAGGAAGAGAGTGATTGTTGGTTGGGTTATTTTTGTCTTTCTCGCAAATGGACGTGAGAATCATTAACTTTCAGCTTAGCCCTCTGTCTAGCTCTCTAGCTTTTGAGCTCCTCCTCCCCTTGTGGCTGAATCTTTCCTTCTCTTTTGTTGTTTTCTGGCGTTGAAGCAGCCCAACCGAAACTATGGCGGAGAATTTGGTGGGAAAAAGAATGATGAGAAATTAGATTTTTTCTATTTAATTTACCGTGTGGGGTTTTGAATGGTGTTGTCAGGCTTGCAGGTGAAGAGTTAGTTCTCCGCGCGGGGTGACGGTGGCGACGCCGTTACCGCGCTTTTCCAGTGTTTTCTTCAAACCGCCGGCAGGTTGCTTTCTCTTTCCTTTACCTTTTTCTTGGAAGGAACGGAGTAAAAAAGGAAGTGCCTTTACCTTTTCTTTACAACAGCGACGAAGCTAGCTAGAACTTGAATTTAGTGAGAAGCCATTGTAGATATCAGTAATATATAATTATATATATGAGCACTTCTACTATACTATATAGTATTGGTGTTTTAATGTACAACTTGAAGTTGTACCATAACATTAAATGTACAAGTTTAGGTTGTACCATAAAGGAATTTGTATCATTATGTTATGGTACAACTTTACAACTTGAAGTTGTACCATCACATAAGGTACAAGTTTAAGTTGTACCATAAAAGAATTTGTACAAAAAGTATAGGTACAATATGAAGTTGTACCATAACATTAAAGGTACAATTTCAAGTTGTACCATAAAGGTAAAAACCTATAGCACCAATGCTATATATCATTGTAAAATTCCTCATATATATATATATATATATATATATATATATATATATATATATATATATATTTAATTCATGGTATTTGAGTGATTTACGGACAGTTTGGTATCAAATGAATTGAGAATTCATTTTATTGTAAAATGAATTATCGTGTAGAATTCATTGTCAAATAAAATTTTGTGTTTGTTATGTCATATTCAAATCGTCAGAACTAAAATAAATTATCGTGTAGAATTCATTGTCAAATGAATTTCTCTGTTTGGTATATGTCAGATGTATAAGTAATTTAGTTAGTAAAAGAGGATAATTATGTCATTCTATTGTAATTAGTAAATACTTGTGGGATTCATTTAGAAATTTCATCTCAACTCCTCGTCCTCGGAATTGCTATAACTAGTTCCAATTCTATAGAATTCAAAATTTAGAATTGAAAATGAACTCTTTTAAATAGGGTTAAAGACACATTTGGTCACTGAGATTACAAAATCGGGACATGTTTAGTCACTAGAAAAAATTAATATCAAATTTGGTCACTACAATTACTAAAACTGGACGCATTTAGTCACTCGCCGTTAGTCTCCGTCCAACTCCGTTAATGAAGTCCGTTAAATGCTGATGTGGCAAACAGAATTGCCTAATCAGCCGGATATAACCCAACAAAAATAAAACCCGACCCGCCACGTCATTATAACCCGCCACCTCATTAAAACCAACCCAACCCAACCCATGACCCAACCCTTCTTCCCCCTTCCTCCCCAACCCAATTTAGGGTTTTCCCCATCCCATAATGGCGGAGAGATCTTCTCCGGCCTCCTTCTCCGACTTGGCACCAGGAGCGGCAGCCCATGGCGAGCAGGGCAGTAGTCGCGTAGTAATCGTCGTCATCCTTGTCTTCGACGTCAGCCCAAGATTTCGTCGTGAGCGGCGCCGGCGACCAGAACACCTTCTCCGCCGCCTCCTTCTCCTCTTTGTTCGATTTCGATTTAGACCGGTCCTTGCCGGAAGTCGCAGCGGAGGAGGAGCTGGAACTCTTCTTCTTCTTCCTCAAGGTGTCGAGCGCAGCGAACACATTGTTACTGTTCAGCACCACCTGCTCATTCTTCCTCCCGCTTGCTCCTCCCCCGACCATTTCCTTCTATCTCAAAATCCACAATAACACACACACGATGACGAAACACGCCCTCCCTCCGGCTCCCTTTGAATCGAACGTTTTCGAGAGCTCGGATGGCGTTCGTCAATATTATGAGATGAAATTAGGGTTCCAGGGACCTGTCGGTTCAATTCACTGAGCGGGGAGAAGATCTCTCCGCCATTATGTGATGGGGAAAACCCTAAATTGGGTTGGGGAGGAAGGAGGAAGAAGGGTTGGGTAGGGTTGGGTCATGGGTTGGGTTGGGTTGGTTTTAATGAGGTGGCGGGTTATAATGACGTGGCGGGTCGGGTTTTATTTTTGTTGGGTTATATCCGGCTGATTAGGCAATTCTGTTTGCCACATCAGCACTTAACGGACTTCATTAACGGAGTTGGACGGAGACTAACGGCGAGTGACTAAATGCGTCCAGTTTTAGTAATTGTAGTGACCAAATTTGATATTAATTTTTTCTAGTGACTAAACATGTCCCGATTCTGTAATCTCAGTGACCAAATGTGTCTTTAACCCCTTTTAAATACCAAACACAAAAATGTTTCATTTCAAAATGAATTTATCAAACTTATGAAATTCATTTATACCAAACGGTATGTTAGTGAATTTGGTAATGCATTAAGTAACTTATGGGCTGATTAGAGATCAATTTTGGGAATATTTCGTATGCCGACAATTTTCTTACTTGATAATATGACATCTATAAATCAAAGTGGCTACTTTCATTGAAAGGAAATTGAAAACTTGTGATTTAAACGATTTAGTTAGTGGTGGACCCAGGATTGTTGGAGAGATGTGTTGCCAATAAAATACAATAATAATTAAATTAAAAAATTAAGTAGAAATTAAAAGAAATTAATTCATAAAGTTCACAATGTCATGTTTTCAATGAACCGTGACGACTTTTCATCTGCTGAAATGTCTCTAAAATACATTCATCACTTGTTCTGCAAAATAAATCTTTTTCAATATACACAACTAACAATCATTCATAAATTTGTCACTCAACCGATTTCAAAGATCGTTCTTGATTATCTTCATAACTAAAAATGCTCTTTCGCAGCTTGCAGTTGTAACAGGTAATGATGGGAAGTAGGGGTGGGCATTCGGTCGGTTCGGTTTCGACCGAACCGAAATTATGAATACCGGGTCCCTGAATTCTCCCAAACCTCAAACCGAATTCGAACCGAATTATAATTCGGTTTGGTCGGTTTAAATCGAATTATAATTCGGTTTGGTTCGGTTTTTAACACAAAACCGAATTTGTGAGGCTACTTGTATCTTCTCACTTTTAAATTATTTTTCACCCCTAATATAAACAATAAATATGCAATTATATGCATCATCAATGATAAAATCAAACATTTCAACACATAAGTCATATAATATTTCAAATATTTAAGTATAAAAACAACTACAAACATAAAAATCCACCATTTGGAGGTTGCAATTATAGTATTTCGGTTTTTCGGTCGGAATTTCGGAATTTCGGTTCGGTTGAAAGAACCCTGGTTTCCGAAATATCCATATTTCCCTTCCGAATTCCAAACCGAATAGCATTATTTCGGTTTCGGTTCCGGTTCGGGTCGGGTTTACCGAACCGTTTGCCCACCCCTAATGGGAAGTTAGTGGCCGCTTGGGCTATTGGCCATTAGGCCTGTGGGTTTTTTTCTCTTTTAATTATAGGTCCAGGCCCAACACACATCACACATGTATATTGTATGAACTGAGATTTTTTTTAATAGGAATTTATAGAGTTATAATTTATGATTTATTTTAAACAAAATTAAAAAGGATTATAATTAAAATTGATTCATTTTGATAATAAATTCTTCGAGTATAATGAAGGTGTGTGGCTATAATTACTGAAGGTGTGTCGGCTATCCCGAAATAAAAAAATTTGTACCAAAAATATGTAGGTCCTTCGTAAAATTCTCGAGCGAGGGTGTGTCGGGCGACACACCCTCCCTTGCCTTAGGTCCGCCACTGGATTTAGCATATGCATGGTTAACTTATTAGCGTGTGTAATTTATTAGAGAAAGTATTTTTGATATTATGATATTGTCTCCGATAAAGAAATAGAGGATGACAACGCTAAAGAACTCATTACAACAACGTTCTCTCCAAACGTACGAGATGTACACTCAACTCTCAATAATAATAATAATAAACTCTTTTCTTTTGTACTAACTTGATGTTGGAGAGCCTCGAGTCTCAAATAGCCGGCATTACATTTTCGTATGAATTCACCTAAAAAGATAAACGAAAAACTTGTCAGAACTCAGAATCCCTCCATAAATTCCTGAAATTATTCCTGAAATTTGGCTTTACCAAAGATTGTTAGTAGCTAAGCTTATACGAAATCAAGTGTGCCATTAACTATTTTAGCAGTTAGATAGCAAGATGATTTCAGGGGATGGAAACATGTCAGCTTTTATTTTCCATGTAACCTAGTCAAAATTACAATGTTTTTTAAGCAATCAAACGATGTTGGAGTTAACCACATTTAGAAATTGAGTAACTACCACTATATAGCCAAAACTATGTTCTTGTTAGCTCTAATATCACCCTCTATACTGAAACTATTAAACTAATTAACTCTAATTGTTAACGATTAAAGATTGCTAATTATTCATTACAACCCATGACCGCATTTGCTATAGTTAACAGGTAGGACATGAAGTAATAAAATTGACTAGTATCAGCATATTTATAGATTGGAAGCACCATAACAGAGCATTTGAATATCAACAACTCCTCTACAGAAATCATATTTCCTCCGTTTTCAAACAACTAAAGCAAATGAAACGAATCGCCATTATAATTGGTTTTGATGGTTCTACTGGTCGAGACACTCATCCTGTTGGCTTCTTGTAACAATACCCTCTAAGGATATCCTTTTCGAAATGTAGGGGGGAAACCATAACTTGTCAAGAGAGAGTAGTTGTTGCTAATTCACTAAGCTTCAATGGTGGCCTGATTAGTAATTAATTGTCATTCAACTAACTCACTACCTTCAATTGTGGATAACACTATGTATGTTAATTAATTAAGTGGGACATTGATTAAGAACTACTTTATTGCCTAAACATGTTTAATCATAGGGGGGTTTTGCAGCATGCTGTATCAGACCAAAATCCCCAAATTTCAACTTCAAATGCAACGGCTACTCCCACGGCTAGCTGGTCCGACATCGTTTCGGGAAAGGGAAGAAGTCATCCGAGAGGAACGACACCGTCTCAAGACAAAGGGAAAGGCAAGCTTAATACGCTGCCGTTTGTAACTCAGTGACAGTGTGTCACTTTCGTTCCCCTGTACTTGTTCTTCAGAGCTCTGTTTTTCCTTTTCCTTTTTCTGCATTTCGACAGCTCACCAGAGCTTGTCTTCTAGCTTTGATCT